AGGCACCGCGCGGGATCACGGAAAACACTCATATGGGACTGACGTAATATGATATAGGACTGACAGACATGAATAAAAAAAAAAAAAAACAAGAAAAAAGCCGTCGCGCTCAGTCGGATTTCGGATGAGGTTCAGTAGACCACACTGAACTGTGGCTGTGAAACGTACACTTCAACTGCATTCACTTCTTTTATCGGGTCAAAAAATAAAATAAGCAATTATTAATAAGGATACCGTTTTGATCATAAATGCTAAACAACGTTGCAACAGTCAGAATCACAATTAAAGGTTCGCAAAACGTGCCAAGAAGTTACTTGTATCATCAGATTTCTAAGGTATCTTCTCCAAAAATGAGAGTACCTAATCAGTCTATTATCACCTGTCAATGTCAATATGTCAAGTTCTACTTGAGTGCTGATTTTAGTCCGGCGAACTGAATACAATATGGTACAACTTGCTCGTTTCTAGTCCTCTTGCTTTAATCATTTGCACACTTGCGCATTCATGTTGATTACTGATCCCCGCGACGTAAAGCTAAGGCCTAAGCGTCGGCCCCTGCTTATTCCAATATCACAGCGCCCTCCCATCGCCCTGTCGCTGTATTTTGCGTTCGTCCCCGCCCCGGTCACCGTATTTTGCGTTCCATCGCCCGACGGACGACTCCTGCTGCTCAACCCGACTGCTCGATCCGCCGCCGGCAGCGCACAGAGCGTCTCCGCGCCTCAAATCGCCTCTTTCAACAGCATTATTGCATTGGGAATCGGCGCCGGAACGCGGCCTCCCACCGGCACCGTGAACCGTATCGACCGGACCAGCCGTGCACCCGACAGCGGGCGTGAGCCGATGGGTGTAGAACGGCGGGTGTAAGCTGATGGGTGTAGGACGGTGGGTGCCGCCGTGGGGGCGCCTGTGGGATGCAGCTGTCATAACTCATTAACCGGTCACAGCGGAAGCAGCAGTGGCAAAATATAACCCAGTTACGGCATCAGATTATGTTATTAGACTCCTCATAATTAGAAAGTTTCTGACTAATGTAGTGAGCGTCTTCAACGAAGTAATTTAATTGGGAAATTTGTCACTCAGCGGTGAAATCATCCACAGAAAAAGCGAGCAAAACATTGAAGAACAGCCACAGAAAATATAATTTGAAGACGCACTCAACAACGAAAATGGGTGAAGAAAAGACGCTAAAATCACATGGCTGACATCTACCAACACATTCTTCATTTGCACATTTTCCTGACAATTTCTGGTACTTTTTACCACTGGTAAGTACTTAGTAGGTAAGCCCGGGTGTGTTAGAAGAACGAACATAACATCACCAGCTTTTTTTTGCGTTCACTTTGACAGGTCGTGTGCCGGATGGAGATGCCGTCACACCGGAGGGACACCGGACAGCACTGAATATGCGATGCGCTCCAAGAGACGGCCACGTCCGACGGAAGCCCAGCCGAGGCGGCTGGCGCGCGCCGCGGAATACCAAGGACCGGGGTGGGAGTCGGCACGGGGACCACGTCCTCGTCGACACATGAGCCTGATGGAGGCTGGCGGTCAGCCGCCCCAGCGGAGTGGGGCGCCATGGGAGCGGGTCCGGGACCGAACGACCGGTGACGGCCGGCAGGTCATCCGGTACGACGGACACGTGAAGAATGGCCACGTAAAATGTCCGGCGGAGGAGTGCATGATCCGACTGTGAAGTTTGAGAAAAGACGGGTGCACTATAGGTACCTACGTGATGTCCTAAATCCTTAGAACGTGCCTTTTACATGGGCCTTAGGTCCTAACCGGTATGATTTTAAGGTGCGTTACCAGCGATGCATCGAATAGTCACTGAGCGAAAAAACTGAACCATGTCTGATGTCACCTGTGCATAACTGACTGTTATCTTTTAAATAAACGTTAATCCAAGACCAAATGTTGTCGACAAGAGAAATCAAAAGCATAATGGCTTCCCTCTGTTCGGTCAACAAAAAGATTGTTACAGATAGTCAGTACAGTGCCACGAGACGCGAGATAGGTACAGCCTGACTGTCGGTTCCTGAGGGTCCCGGTAGTATATCACCTCCACCATTCTGAATAGCTAAGATCCAGGAGTTCTAGCTTGACTCTTGAGCATTTACAGCGAGATACAAGACAGTCAGGCATCTCAGTTTTTATTCCAATTTAGCCGACGGCGTCTGACAGTGACACTCAGTTTCTGCCACCAGGGAGTGTCTCGGCCTCTCTCGCTGGCTGGCGAGACTGATAAGCGCCGGTGGCACGCCACACGGCCCCGCCCGGTCGTTTTCCTGCAGCTAACCGGGCCAGACGGAACCCGACAGGCATACGGAGGTTGGCGGCAGCCCAGAAAAGCCTTATCCCACCGCTGGGAGGCAGGAAACATTGCGGGGAATCGCGGCTGTTGGTTCTGAAAATGAGGATCGGAAAGAGCTGAATGCCGTATTCGGAGCAGAAGCGATTTCCGGTAATTTAATTGCCGGCCATCGGAAGTGAACGCGCCATTGCTTGAAAGCGAACGACGGCGAATAACACTGCAAATATAGGTATGCCTTTCCTAAATATGACAGCTTGCAACAGAATGCCACTTGACGTATAGGTGTATTTTTGGCACACCTTCATTGCACTACGGTGTGTGCTAGTCGTAAATTTTCACACTACCAAGCACGGTTTCGGAGTCGTGGTAGCGCTGTTCCGACTCCGAGACTCCGGGCTCTTGACCGACTCCGGCTCCGACTCAGAATCCAACTCCGGGTCTGATGCGAAGCATTGAAACCGACACTTAGAGCAGATTCTAGTTCCAACTTACAATTTACATACATAATACAGCTAACACAATCAGGGATGCGGAGCCGTGGAAATTTCAGACGGCTCCGGCTCCGGCTCCGGCTCCGGAGAAAAAAATCGGCTCCGGCTCCGGCTCCGGCTCCGGGTGAAATGTCATGGCGGCTCCGACTCCGGCTCCGGCTCCGAGTAAAATGATCCGGCTCCGGCGGCTCCGGCTCCGGCGGCTCCGGCTCCGGCTTCTACTCAGTACATCCCCTATGCGATCAATTAAATACGGGTGGAAGAAAAAAGGCGATGGGATTGGTACACGTTGCTTCTGTATTTGTATAACAAGGCTATTTTGAATACCACATTGTTTTACGCCTTGTACTGTCAAACCGAACTAGGTAAATAATTGTTTCCTCTTGAGAAAAGGAGCCGGAGTCGCCCCCTTTTTGACGGCTCCGGCTCCGGCTCCGGCTCCGGGCTATATTGTTTCACGGCTCCGGCTCCGGCTCCGGCTCCGGGCAAAATATGCCGGCTCCGGCGGCTCCGGCTCCGGCTCCGGCTCCGGCTCCGCATCCCTGAACACAATCATTGGTATTGACTCATGACTTTCATCACTTCATGCCTTCCGGCCTGCGAGTATCTGCCAGATCACTCATTTGTACGCAGCAGCAGAATCGCCTCGACAGCGTCCTGCTTGAGCCGGGACCGCAGGTCAGTAAGCAGCAGCCTCATCGCCGAGAAGAGCCGCTCGATGCTGACCTGGGTCACCGCCACCGGCAGCGCAGCGACTGCAAGGCTGCATGACTGTACGGCCGCGGGATAGGATGGATGTCCGGCACACATATCGGCCCTTCAGTCAGCCCAGGTTCTTGAGATCGTTGACAGCGTCCTGGGGGGGGGGGGGGGGGAGGGGATGGGGCGCGTTGACCGTTTGTCCACCTGCCGGCCCTTTTCCAGCCGGTCGAGTTCCTTCTCAAAGAGGTCATCTTCCCCTTCCTCCTCCGGATCCGAGCTGAAGCTCTGCGTCGGCGACAGCGCAAAATCGGACTCACTGCTTTGGATCCGGTGAATGCATTCCATCAGCGTGGTGAACGCTGCCTCGGTTCAGTTAACTAGAATCCGTGATATCACTTTTCAGTGAAAAGTGATATCACGGATTCTAGTTAACTTTCCAGAGTGGGAGTCGAGGCAGCTTGACCGACTCCAATGCCGAGTCTGACTCCTGGCTGCTTGCCACGACTCCGGGCGACTCCGACTCCGAAACCCTACAGTACCTACCAAGGATGCTAGAGTATGCGTAAATTGAGAGTCCGAACAAGAACGGAGCTTGCCCATTTTACACAGAACCGCCATTTACCGCCCGACGCACGTCACATTCCAAGTGGTAATCTATCGTGACATTACAGGGAAATAACTGCCGGGAGAGCATTACGGCAGGCACCCGGTGGAATTTCTAAAAACCCTGCGCGCAGCGCGGATATCAGCAAATGCCAGGCCATTGCAGCCGGATATGACACGACGACGGCAGACTGCTGTACGGATATGATAAAACACATTATTAAATCACACGAAGAACCTAAATATTGCATTTTGAGCATTTGTTTTCACTTCCTATCATCCGATTATAATGCAAAGAAAATCCTATTACTTACGCGCTAATGGAAGAGATTTTCTACAGGGCAAACCACTTCGCTGTGAGCTGATCTAGGGAAAGTATCCTACTGCATCATTGTTGTTAGAGGTCCGTATTTCGACAGTGTATAGAAATACATAGATGTCGTATTTCTATCACACCCTAAAAATAAGATGAGAAAAATGTGTACCGTCCGCATTTGAAAAACACCGAGCGACCGTTTTCCCTTTTTCTCTCCTTTGTGTGCTCTTTGGCAAGAAATCTGCAGTTGCCTAAGGAAAAAACATCAGCACTTAAAGAGCACAGGCGATCAGTGACCGTTCTCACAGCATCACTCGCCCTACACAGTGGGTTGCTCCGTGAATATAGCAAAAACAAACCTGCAACGTTTTCATCGCAGCCATTTCTTGCTGTTTGCGCACATCCAAGTAACCCGAGCTCTGAATCCACTTTACGAGTACAACCATCCGGCTGTTTCAGCGAACAACAGACCGACGGGGGCCGACGCTCGGCGGCAGCATTCACCATTAAGGAAATCATGCAGTCCAAAGGTAGGTAGTGCATGGACGATGTCGTAAACGAAAGTAGAGGTTGCAACGTTTCCGACATTGTATTAACATTCCCGTCCAGTCTGGATATTGACAACTTTTGAACATAGATTCATTAAAAAGATGGAATAAAAGCACTTCAAGACGGAATCGTGATACCACTGTTGCAAGAATCATCAAAATCACTTTGCAGAAGTCAGCACCAGATATCTAGTCTAGGGAGATGACCAGGTGTAATGAGTCCGTGATTCTCCACTAGGCGTCGAGCATCCGTATTTTTCAGCCAAAGGCTACCCAACATGATCTTAAAGGCATCTATGGCACATTCACGTCCGTGGAATGCTAACTACAGGCTAAGTCTCACAGCGTGGCATGGATTCAATGTTTTTGTGACATTACTGTATCGTGTGCTGCCACTTGTGTTTGGGGCAACGCCAGTGCAGCACGGTTCAACCGGGTTAAGCTACATTACAGCCCATCTATGAGTTCAACGCAGTGTGTCACTTGGATGGCCATGGGGTTTATCCAGTTCAAGACACACCTTCAGAACGATAATAATTGCATCGCTTATTGTACAAGACATGTTAAGCAGAACACTCATATCACGGTCAGGACAACGGCCAGTGCACTTTGGCTGGCTTCCGAAAGGATGATGTTACTTACAAATGCTTGAAAGCTATGGCAAACCATACGCATATCACTGATACTAGTCATAACTAGTCACAAGTCATAATTATCCGACTGAAATGTCACACCAAGGCTGAATATGACTGGTTGTTACGCACTCGAAACTGGCTTGAAGTACGAGCTAACGGTTGGCTGTGTGCTGGCACCTATCGGTCGGGCTAGCTGACCAAGACCTGCCTCCTCGCCGTCTGCGCCAATCAGCGCCACGCTACACGCCAGTATGACGTCACTGGTATAGAGACTCCGAAACTGGCCACCTATCAAACGGAACGTCGAGATGTTCACTGATGCGACGGGAAAATTTGGATAACTTATAGCGAGAGAATAGTGAATTTTGTATCGGTCAGCCCAGCCTACTTGGTCTGGCTATAATTTACTGACCTTACCTGGGATGGCTCCAAGATGCAGGTAAATAAAAAGCACAATTGTCAGCATGAAGCTTATGTAGATCAGTATGAATACAGATTGCATAACGATTTTTTCACAAAGATAAAACATACCTGGTCTCAGAGGCCAATCTGCGACTTCCGAGCGTGGCTCGAGCACCAGTGGTCTTCCTTCACTGGCTGACTTGAATACGTAGCTGAGAACACACGACGGCGAGTGAAGTGTCATTTACCGGCTGTTCATCAGCACCGTCTGTGGCGAGGCCCAGCACGCAGCAGCAACGAAAATTGCACCAAATGGCGCATCAGCTGGTGGTGACATTTGTTTTGCTTGTTGGGGTGTATGATGAGATCAGTTATGCAAAACACGCTGCAAGTGACAAGTGAGTTTTGTTAGGCATGCAATTAGAGATGCAAATTTTCGACACACGGGAATGGTGATGTGCTCGATTCAGACGTGACGTGGCACAGATCTGAGCTCGGTGAGGCTGGGAAAGAAGCAGAAGCTGAACAAAATGTGGTATAGTTACTATTGTTCGGACTGCCGTTGTTACCGCACAGTCCAGCGGTGCTGGGCTAGTGCCAGGGTAAGTGCCTCAATCTGTACCAGCAACATCAGACATCAAGCATTGGTTCTAACTTCTAATCAAGCATACTGACAATTTTTTTGTTCATTACGCAGCGTAAAATATCTGAAATGTCAGACGAGCTCGGAAACAATAGGGAAAGGGGACGAAAAAGCGAGAACAAATTCTAAATTGATGCATGATTTGGTCTTCTAAAGAAATTCAGTTGGTTGTGGTTCCGAAAATTTGGCTAGACTATTTCCCCGGAGACAAGGCACGCACAGTAAACCCCGACCCTTCCCGGTGCTATCGCGCCATTCCGCGCATCGGGAGAGTTCATTATTCATGTATCGAAGTTTAGCGAGCTTTTCTCTTCATGATCTTCGACATCAATGTGTGTTCCATAAGGTGATGGTGGATGTAGCGATGAACGCCAAACTTACGCAATTTTCAGCGGTCCGCTGTGTCTGACGGTGGCCTCCTGAGACTTGACAAGCTGGTCGCACTGGACGGGGTCGTCCCGGACGGCCCGGTACAGGCCCACGGCCTCCTGCAGCACCGCCAGCAGCGCCTCCACGAGGCGGAGCACACAGCTCGTAAGCATCGCAAATGACGTATAGGACAGGCTGAACACCAGGTGACACACATATTTCAGTTGGTCGAAAACATTCTCAAACTGTGATCAATTCACTTCAGTAGATACCAAAAGCTTCACGATTTCTCATTGCTGAGAGGTGCCCAAATATACAAGAAAATGTTTTAAGATAAAATAAAACAAGTAATAAACATCAAACTCCATCAGCCCACCCCAAAATTGCCATTAAAGCGTTACCTACCTTGCCATGTTTTCTCTCAAACCATCGTCTTGTGACCGTGATGTTGTCACCTTGAAACAATTTACACTTGACAAAACAAATTTCTGTTGAGATGTAGCTTCCATTATCCACCTGTGAGATAGAAAAATAGTGAGACATGTCCACCGACAATAAAGAAATCAGCGTGTCTAGTACTGTGTTGAGTTTGCTTAAAGAAGGAATTCCAGGAGAACAATTCAGTTTAACCCTCGCCCGTAAACGGCGATCTGCCACCTTCGCCCATGCAGGGGGGGGGGGTTGGTGCGACCCCCCCCTTGGCGTTTGAAAATGGAGCGTCGTAGAGCTTAGCGGAAAAGACCAACGGATTGCTCTCGCCGAGATCTCGCGATTGGTGGTATATTTTTTGGTCCTAGGTCAACATTTGACCTACTTTTGACCGGTCAAAGGTCAAATTTTCGGAAAAATAGACTTTTTCAACTTTCGGCGGCGATTGCGGCAAAACGGTGGGAGATATCGACTTGAAACCTTCACTATCGTGTTCCTTGATCAATTCTCTATCGTTTGGTATGTATTTCGTTTCCCTAGCTCTAAAAATGGCGCGTTGGGAGCGCCGGAAGTCGGCAAGGTCACAATCGGCGGCAGAAATTCGAAAAATCAAAATTTAAATTTTTGAAATCTGATTGTATTTTTGGATTTGGGAGGTCCATTTGCTCCCTATAGAAGCTAATATTGCTGCATATTCCCATTGAGGTGACAAGAATTAGCAAAATAGTGGTTCGGGCGCTTTTCAAAAATAGTACCGGACGCTGTTCCTCTTGTGACGTCATAGCTCCGTGACCTGACCTGACCCGGTCAAGTTTCTTATACCATATGATAGCCAATACTTGCCCCAACATGCATGGGAAGTTTCATCACGATCCATCAACCGATGTTCGTACCACCGGCAGGAAACCTCGGGCGTTGGCACTCAGTTTGTGAAAATCCGGCCGGAGGCTGTTCCCTTTGTGACGTCATAACTCCGTGACCTGACATGACCCGGTCAATTTTTTTTATCAAAAGATGCGCAAGGTTTGCCCCATAAGGTACCCAAAATTTGGCGGCGCTGCGCGCCGCCGTTTTTGCACTATTTCCGAAAAGCCTCAGGGGGGGGGGGGGTTGCACCAACCCCCCCCCTACATGGGCGAGGGTTAATCCATATTATCACTGGACTGGAGCCCAGAGATGATGGTTGATCACAGCAAAATGCAAAATTAAAAACACATGCTTTTTCAACACCTTTTTGCATTGGCCAGTTAATTTTGACTAGCCTGTGAAATATATGCATGGTCAAATACATGTGCCTGAATAACAACTGCTGTCTCCATATGATTGTGTTCCAGATTGAAAGTGAGCCTGAAGTCTGACCCTTTTACACATATGAAATAAATATTTTGTGGATGCTTGAGCAACTTCAAATCATCTGTAATCTCCCTGGCATTCCCATCATCCCATGTGCCCAATGTGACAGGATGTGAGAGGAGACAGCCCACTGCCCAGGCATGAATGAAAAAGATATGTGCCTTGTTCACAGAAAACATGATTTCCTTTATGTATGGAATTGGACACTGACAGGGTTTTATGGCATGGGGTTTCTCATGTGAATGTTGGGTATAAATATACCTCTTATATAAATATCTATAACAAATCAAAATACCTGTAAAATTAAGTTCAATGCATATCACCAATGCCCAATCCTACATTGATAAACTTCATTAATTGCTGCACTTGCTTGTTAATCAAATTTGATATCAAACTCTAATTCAATTCAAACTCATGCCCAGTCCACAACCCACACTGACATTCAAATTTCCTTAGCTCAAAATCTGGGTGGGTGTTCAGGTAAGATAGCTTGAGAGCACGTAATTGAAGATCGCAATAGTTTGTGGATTTTAAAAATAAAATTGTTTTGAATTCTTGCATCTGGTAAATCATAGGCCTCAAAAGGCTATCATTTTTTTAATCTCTACTTCTTATTTTTTGGGTAATTCAGTGACTCAAGTTGCTGCAAGCCCTGAGGGCATGCCTGCCCCTAATGACAACCAAAATTTGTAAGCTAGCTTTGTTCAAGCAGGAACAGTTGGTTGGTTGGTTTGGGTTAAGCACCATATATAGTGGACCAAGTGCTATCTGGAACTCTCATGTTTTTCCAAGCTGAAGCAGTCAGGCAGCGGCAATAAACGTGCATTGCCTGGGAATCAAACCCAAATGGCTGAATCTAGAGGCAAGGGTCTTGCCCTTAGACCAGAATGCTCCCCTCCAATGTCAAGCAGGAACAATACTAGCTAATTACAAAATTTTAGCTTAAAAATGCTTACCTTTAAAAATTCACAACATTTCAGATGCATTATCTCAATCTAAATCAAAATCTGATGCATCCACCAGTAATTATTTATTTCCTTCCTTTGTATTATCAGCTTATCAAAGGCAATGGACAAATTCACCCGTTACTATTTTGATTTTAACTTATCACAATGCTGATTTCTCACAGAAAATAAAATTATATATTTCAAGAACGCGCGTCAGAAAGTTATGCTGTTTACATTATGTTCAAAAGCGTGCAGTCGCAGAATATGGCAGCAAACATGGTAAACGTTGCCAGGCAACCTGGTGCTACACCCACAAGCAGCCCACAAGTTGCTAGGCAACGTTTGACGGCTTTGAAGTTTTTTGGGGGGAGGAGAGTAGGCAATTTAGGCAGAGAGGCGGGTGGTGGAAATAGATCAATCGTAAAAGATTATTACATTTTAAAAATTTATGCGACTTTTCCCCATATCTTTTTTCATTTAAGAATTTATCGCTAATTATTTCATTTATTAAATCGGCGAGCAGACACAATTTACTTTACTTCAAAAAATATATTTCATAAATGCCTTGATATGGTAGCAATTGAAGTGCGACATTTATACCGTGCTTTAGAAATGACGCATAATTTTCGATGCCCTGTCACTGTGAAAATAAAATAGATGCGACGGGAACTGAATAATTCTCACTTCTCAGAATATATCAGTTTGTACCAGGTGAGGTGCTCGTTTTTTAAATAGGTAATTCACTTCAATTTCCCACGTGCGAAAGTTGAAGCAAACTCGATGTCTACAGGCTTCAGTCTACAAGGGAGAATAAAACCAATAAAACTGAAAACGGCGTACCTGTACCAGTACCAGGGCCCTGTTTCACCGGTGATAGCAGCACGCTGCTTTTACACGTGTCAAATTGGGTTTCCATGGAAACATCAACAGGCCCACTGCTCCAACACTACCACAAGTGTGACGTCAGCTCGCGCAATTTGATAGCAGCGTGGTAGCAGCGTCCCGTGAAACACCGCCCAGGAGTCAGAGCATTCATTTCTCCCTTGAACTTGTCGAAAATAAAAATGTTTCAGTTCAAAAGACGATCCCAGCCAGACTCAAGACTGCAGTTAGTAAAGTTGACCCGTTGTTGAAGTGTTCCACATAAAAATGTGGATATCAATTCCGATTAGGTGCTAAAAAATGAAAGGTTTGATTTGGTGGCGGTGCGGCTTGGTGGGGGATTTTACACTCGAGCTGGTGTGGCTACTGGCTTGTGGACCTTGCTGCCATGCTTTGCAGTCTCGCTATGTGGTTGATGTCGGCTGGTGTGGATCTGTGAACCTGGCCAGTAGCGGATGTGGCTCATTTACTGTGTTGCCATATGTGGATGCCCGAGGGGTGTTCACGGGCACCGCACACTGCTGCGTGCGGTGTGTGCGGTGCGTCCAGCAGGCGTGGGGGTAGGGGATGGGTAGGCGGCTCTGACGTCACGGCTGCGTGCGGTGGACGTTCCGCTGTGGCCGGTCCCGACCGGCCACAGCGATCGCTGTGTGCGGTGACGGAAGGCTGACGTAGGGACGCAGTGGGTGGAGCTTGGAGGCTGTGTGCGGTCCGACCGCACACAGGGCCCGTGAGGCGTGAACAGCCCTCCGGACTACAGCATTTCCAGAAATCTAGAAGTATATAGACAAGGATGGTCTAGTTAAGCCTACAAAGCAATATCTAAACGTTGCTGAAGTACTGTGAAGTTTTTAAGTAAAACTTTTGTTATGCAACTTCACAGGACGCATAATGATACAAGCCAAATGGTGCTCACTGCTCAGGCCCTTAACTTACATGACATTACAATGTAATAGGTAACTAATGATGCGATTACTGCATATAATCATTACAATCATTACATATTGTTACAATGAAAGTACCATACACATATGCTTCCAGGTGGATTCTTGTTTGTCAGATTCAGCAATCATGTCTTCTGAGAGTGAAGTTGATGATTTCTTTGATGCAATGGATGAGTCACCAGGAGGCAAATCACAGTAAGTTATTTATTTGAACAGAGTGTAAAAACACCAGTTTTTTCATCTGTGGAGAAATTTTGATGAATTTTAATTGCTTTTCAGTATCTTTGTTGCACAATGATTAATATTGTGTCCTGTTTTTGCTATATATCTTCACTGCATTGACAATGCATACTTTTGATGCCAGTGATGTCTATGGGTATTTACTGTTTTTGAATGAACTTGGCATGGTCATTAGGCAGTTTTACTTTGGTTAGTTGTAACCTATATTTTCCACTTCTTTCCATACATAATCTGCTCATATATTTCTTAAAGGACTTTAAGAATAGGGATATTATTGAGAACACTGACAACAGCAATGGTGTTGATTTTAAATGACTAGATAAAAGCATAAAGAATTACAGTGTAACTACCTGCAGGCTTGCCAAAAAGAATTATAGGTATTTTTAATGGTTATTTTCCACCTTTTAGGTTTGAAGCTCAATTTTTGTCTTGTGAAGGTCTATGTATGAATATAAACATTTTATCTCTTAATTCACCTTATATGACTTTTTCCACTCACAGAACACTGAAAGCCAGCAGGCCAGTGATTGCAGCCCAGGTTTCTTCAGACTCCATCGATGACTCCTCAGAGTCCACATCAGGATCCAAGTCGACTGAGGCAGCAGTGAGTGCAATCGCCATTCATTTATGCCTAATTATTAAAACATTGATCAATTAAACATGTTTTAACTTTTTGCATGCAAACATGTACCTAATTTATTTATCTCGGTCAGGCTCTTGCTGACTTAAGCATCACAATTCACAAGCTTCTCACTAATGTATATTTGGAGGTGATAAAATTATTGTGCTTGAGTCAGGTACTTTAGGAGTCATCGAGCCGATTACATGAGCTCAATTATGTGATGCTTTCCACGCAAATACCTAATGTGCAGTCACTAGATCAGTGGTAGTTCAGTGCCCCTACAGCACGTCCTCAGCCCATGCCCGCCGGTAGTGTTCACTGTCACCCCCGTCGCCCGCCTCTGACCATTCTCCCGGCTCCTCTAGGTGGCGGCCACGCCGGCCGAGGCAGCGGCTGAGCTGGAGGCACGCCGCACCAAGCTGCGCCGGCTGCGGAAGTGCGTCACTGGTGACGAAGAGGTGGCCGAACCGCCGTCACCGCACGGCTCGCAGACCGACTCTGTCGAAGGTCAGAATATTGGGAGAGAATGTTAGGCGTAACAAGCCGGGTGGGCTTTTCTGTTTATTACTTTGTCACACCGTTCTTCTTGCATAAAATGTATTGTTTCTTTACATCGATCAATTCAGTTTTGCTGTTTCGATATAGCTGTATGTCATGCCATTTACTGCCAAAGAAGGAAGCAGCTTTCATTGCGCCTGCTTCGACGCTGCTCTTTGTCATATCTCGTAGCCGTTCTGTAGACAGATACTCTTGCTGATCGCTGGACTGGCTCATGACAGTGTCCTTTCGCACCTTGCAGGTGTGGCGGCGCGCAGCAGCCACCCGTTCCGTAAGGTGGAGCACGACGCCCAGTCGATGGTCAGCCAGATGTCACTGGGAAAGGTGGGACGCATCATGGCCGGACTGGACGACATTGACGGGCCGGCCGGCCGGCCACCGTCAGCCGCCGCCAGCAGCACGCCGCCGCCGGCCGCCGACGCCGCCCCCGCCCCCGCCCCCGCCCAGGCCGACGTGCCGCCGCAAGCACAGCGGGCTGCCGCGGAGTTGATGCCGCCACCTCCCGCTCCACCGCCGCCACCACCAGAGGCGGAGCGAGAAGCAGGGCCACCGCCGGTGGCCGCTCAGCCCCCGGCGGAGCCCGTGCCGCCCTCCCCTCCGCCACCGCCGCTGCCGCTGCCAGTACCCGACATCGTCTCCAGTGTGAAACTCGCCGGTCCCCGGCCGGCCTCCCCGCCTCCCCCTCCTCCTCCGCTGCTCCCGCCGCCTCCGCAGGACTCTGCCGCTCCTCCGGTGGCGCCGCCGCGCCGCAGGAAGAAGCGACCCCCGCAGGATGGCGCGCGCGACTCTGCCAGCTCCCTGGGCTCGGCTCCGCCCGAGGAGCCGCCGCGGGAGCCTCCACGGGAGCCGGCTCCGGCGCGGCCCCGGGCCAGCCCGCCCCCGGTGCGGCGCGGTCCGGAGCTGCGTCCTCCCCACTCGGCCACGGGAAGTCTCCGGCAGCGGCGGCGCGGTCTCACCGACCGGCGGGCCCAGCTGACGCCCGACCGTGACCAGGAGTTCTCGCTGGATATCCGCTCGGCCACCAAGGGGCAGTACGTGGTCAAACCGCAGGTCAGTGGTGCTGGATATTGGTACCGACGGGGGCGGTGGTATCAGATTTGTCAATGCAAAACAAACGATAGAATAACCCAATTAGGAACCTGTGACAGTTCGGAATTATTGAATACATTGTTGATGGCACCGCCTTGGATATCCCTTGGCTCACAGCTTCCATCAAGCCATACGTAGGCCACTGTGTACACTGTACAGTTTCAACACCCTGCATCACGACGAACTTGACGTGATTACAGATTACAGATTACAGATTACAGATATATTCAGACAAGGTCCTCTCAATAGTGAGGCTTTTCACATGTCCACGTCATGATAGTATACAAAACGAGGAACAGTGTGCAGCACGCATAATTCCCACACACGCACCCATACATGCTATTGCTCATGTCTGTTGCTTAGACAGCAGCACCTTTCGGATGTTCGCCCGGTACGACAATGTCCCTGGTTCTACTCCAAGTTCGTTCATACGAGTCACACCTCGGTAGCACAATCTACGTCTTCCCGACTCCGTTCGAATGAAGGGGAGGGTGAGGTAGCTGGCCTGCCTAGTGTTGTGCCGGTGCCGCTGGCTAGCCCGCTGCCCCAGCGTACCTTTGAGGTACTCCGGCTGCTCCGACACAAAGATACGCTCGACAGCACTCACTGTGTGGTATGTTACCAAATCCTTGGCAGTCAACCACTTCAGCTGCTTGATGACAGCCGCCACGCTATCACGTCGTCGCCGACCGGACACAACGCGTGCACAAAAGTTTATAACTTTTTGCAGCCGTCCTAACTGCACCTCACCACACGAGCCGTACACCGACAGACAGTACCGCAGCACAGATACAACCAGGGCTTCAACTATCGGCTTCAGTGCTGACCGCGGTATAACGTGACGAGCGTGCAGTAGCGCTGTCAGCATCCCGGTACATTTCCGCGCCACACCGTCTACATGGGACACAAAGCTGAGGTGACGGTCGATCGTCACTCCTAGATTTTTAACAGTTTCTGACTCTGTAATGGTGGTAGAGCAGAAAGTCAGCGTGACAGGCGGCAAATTGCGAAGCATCGCTGGGGTGCCGATCACAAGCATCTGTGTTTTCGCAGCATTAAGTCTCATTCCATTGTGGCAGAACCACTGATACATTCGACCCAGTGCATCCTCCATACGCGCGGTCAACAGATTCAAGTCGCTCTTCTTGCCAGTAACCATCAGCTGGGTGTCATCAGCATACTGGACTACCGTGACGTCATCGGGAACACACAGACACAGATCGTTTGAGTACAGCATGTACATGAGACAACTCAGGGCGCCGCCTTGGTATACGCCAATCGCGTTAGCCTTGCTGTCCGACAGCAGTGTCGAACCGTCCGCGCACCTCACTTGGACCTGCTGCGAGTGGTGAGCCAAATAGGCACGGAACCATGTGGTTTCGATACCGTACACAGACAATTTGTCGAGAAGTGTAACATGAGGAACAACATCAAAACATTTTGAGAGGTCTAGTAGTACCAAGATACAAATGTTACCATTGTCCATTGCCTGAAGAGCATGATCAGTAAAGACGTGAAGCGCGGTTTCCGTTGAACGTTGTTTTCTATAACCGTGTTGGGCGTCCGAGAGAAGGAAATTTTCTTCGAGATAAGAGACCAACTGTTTTTGCACGACACGTTCAACTAATTTCATAATCGCAGGCAGGATGGAGATGGGACGCGTGTCGGACGGCTCGGTAGCCCTCGTTCCTTTCGGAATTGGGGTAACCAGAGCGTGTTTCCAGTCCTGCGGTACTACTCCGTTAGAAAGGCTGGAGTTCACAACATCCAAAACCGCATGGCCAATCCCGGGAAAGAACTTCTGTAACATGCGCACACTGACACCGTCCTTGCCAGTCGACATAGATGGTTTCATCGACAGCAATGTGGCATAAAGAGTGTCCAAATCGGTAGGTTGCACCTCAAACGCACACGTCAAAACTCTCGGGAGTCGCGTGGGCACACGTACAGTAGCGGCGGGGACACTGGCTGCAGTGGAAGGACCGATCGCAACATAATAATCATTCAGTGCATTCGGCGTGATTCTCGGTATCTCGCAGGACTGCTGCTTCCTGCCCACGACCGGCCGCAGCACTCGCCACAGCCCGCCCCGGTCACCGCGGCTGATAGCACCAGCATACCGCGCGCGGGTCTCGTTCCGCACGGCGGCGCGGTACAGCCGGTTCACCCGTTTGTACTCGGCTCGATCGCCCCGAGCTAAGGCCGCGCGGCGGGACTGCAGCAGCTGCTGGGTCTCGGCTGACACGGGCGGCGCAGTCACCTGCCTATCACGGACGAGTTTGAGCGGTGCGACAGCATCCAATCGTTCAACGAACGTGTCACGGAAAACGCTCCACTTACGTACTCCACTGATGTACCCTGACGTGCTGTGACCTGGCCCCAGGACGAGGAGAGCACGCGGGCGCCAGTGGTGACGGTCATGGACCGCCTGGACGTGATCTCGGTGCAGTCGGACGCGTCCAGTATCGCCGACAGCGTGGCATCCTCGTACCCGGGCGCAAACATGCAGCGGCTCGATGAGGTAGGAAAATGGGACGATGGATGGGTGGATGGGTTGACTTTGAAGTGTTCGATGATCGTGGGTGGGGTGGGTAATGTGCAGTGGCCTCGTGGGGTGGAGAAACGTGGAAAATGTAGCGTTTCAAAATGGGAGAGAAAGACACAGATGTGTCTGAGGAGGAAAGGCGGGGGAGCTGTCGGAGATACTGGATGGCTTCTATTTGCTGTCTCTGCTGCTGTGATGACTGTTCAAATTAAGTTGATGGGAGACAGTGGGGGAGAAGGGATGGGATTAATTCCGCTTCGTTATGAATGACTTTGGGCCAGGATGTGTTTGAGACGATGTTTTAACGTGTTTGTCATGTTTCAGGTGAAAGAAGCTCAAGAGTTCTTGAGGTCACATGAGATCCAGACCAATATTTTCGTAAAAACGAAAACGGACTCGGGGCGACCTTTAACTGACAAGGTAAGAACTTCAGCTCCCACCTCCAAAGCGAACCCTCATAACAACGATCTCGGTGACAATGTTTCTTTCTACCCATTCACCGGAAACGTTACTGTTCTTGCTGTCCATTATTTTCTATTTTCTTTCTTTGTCTGTTCACTCCACTCCTGTCTTTTCTGTAAATTGCTTTAACTTCTCTAATGTGTCCGCTCGTTCTCAGGAAATCCTGGACCAGGTGTCCGTTCTGAACCTGGACACTGGGGAGCGGATCCCGCTGTCGGTCGCCGAGGAGAAGCTGCCCGCCTGCATCAACCCGCTCTCCCTTCAGATCATGCGCATGACGTCAGAGTACATCAGGTAGGTGTCTGACGTGTGGCGCCGTCACAACAGCATGACGTTGGAGAGTGGTGTAGTGGCGGTGAAGGTGGTGGGTTATATGTGGCTTTGGATTGAATCCGTGATACGATGTTTTTGTTCGCCTTCAGTTTTTGGCCGGAGGCAGCGGCTATTTTCGCCTTGTTGTCAAATTCGCCTTTGCCCATGACTGGTAGTAGCGAGATGTGTGCAAAAACGAACACTTTTCTTTAGCTTGTCACAGTTTAGCTCATGAAAATTGAAAATGCTTCAGTAACCTGGCTTCCATGTTCAAACATCTGCCTAGACTTCATAAGCTTCTCACCTCGGGCACACTTTTGCACCTGTAAGAAGCCATAACGCAATCACGTAGTCCGAACACCCCACTGTACGGCGGTATGATCTCATTCACGAGCTGTGGTGGCCGTCCGCCCAGGGAGCCTGACCCGGTGCCGGACAGCCCGCCGTGGCCGGTGCCCCAGCGGCGGCGGCGCCGGCCGCCCGGCTGTGTCTGTAGCCTCAGCCTCAACATGTATGTCTGCGCGTGCGGTCACGCACCGTGGCCCGCTGCAGACGGCGCCCCTCCTCACGATGAGAACCTCCCGGCGCCCGCGGATGATACGTGAGCGATTCCCCGGCCGGTCAAACGGCCTAACTAACGCTGGCGGTGCGGTAGGGGGCGGCGGATGGCACTGCATAGCTAGCTCGACTGAATCGAGTGGAAAGATCACGCGGAATGAGGGGGTTGCTAGTTGGAATGAGGCCGGCAGGTACACTAACGTTTGGCCGCTCAATTTCACCGAAGGGGACTGGTTTAGATGAAAGTAGCTATCTACTAATATCGTGCTCTTGCGGATAAATTAGAGACAGATTCGGGGATGTGAAGCTTGTGTCGTCTTCCGCGCTGGCATGCTCTTTCGAACTGCACTTTGATAAATTACCGCGGTTCAAGTTCCATCCTTGCTTATTGTTCTGGTTGCGTGCGCTACAGCTATGCCGTTATTGGCGAGTAGAATTTCGCTCTGGGGGATAACTTTTTATAGCAAGCAAGAAGGATCGAAAATTGAAATGTAATTGTAAACTGTCAGCTGTCATTTGGAATAAAGCTAACGTCAGTATTTTCGTGCGGACCTATTTTGCGTTGTTTATCTCTTAAAATGTATTGCTAACACTCATGAGGTGCATATCATTGCTGCACTCAATTCGCAATCACTTTACGCCCTCACCGGTGTCATACAGCCTTACTCCATCCTGCACCCTCATAGATTACACTTTCAACTTTGCGAAATCCTATTTACTACACTAACTCAAGGTAAGGGCTAAAGGCCCCGCTGACACCGGTCTGCCTGCCCCTACCTAAGGACGAAATTAATGAGCATACAGGCGCTGCCTCTGGCCACGTGTTACGACTCATTAACTGCACTGCATGGATCAACACTGAACATTTGTGCAGTGCATGACGCGAGGAAGAGTAACATTAGATATCTGGCCACCAGTGATTTTGATACGGCACAATTTTGATGCCAACGTTGTCTAAGTACGATAGTCATAGTGTAATGGTAGGAATCTGCACGATTGGCCATATATTCACATTCGGTATGGTCACTGAATTATATCATAGGTTTCGTAAAAAAGTGCCTTGCTTTGCGGTTTCCTTGGCTGTATTTTGTGGGTCACGTAGAAAATCCGTAGCGGTATCCATTTGACAATGCCGAGTTTGTTCTTTGCGATAGTATCCTTTATCTCGTATACATTTTCTCACGGGCTGTCAATAAAAAATAAATCACTAGATTCGTTGGCAGCTTTTCAGATTTTGTGTCCGCACACCGAGCGTTCCTATTTGACTCTTCTGTTTCCTTTCCACTCTACTGTCGATCGAAGTGGACCAGCCTCGTCCAATCCATTCTCTTCCCTCACGCATGGTCGCCACCTGATCCACGTGAGGTCGCCTTCTAAACGGTTCTATGTCCTCGTCTCCAGCACGTCGAGCCTGGAGAAGGACGGCTCTGATGACGACAAGAAGAGTCTGGTGATACCGCCGGCCGAGGAACAGGTGGAGCAGGGAGGCGTCCGCAAAAAGACGTGAGTTACTAGGGGAGGCGTCTAAAAAAAAAAGGAGTTTGTACAGGGCTGTGTCGGTAAAGACTTGAGTTGGAACCGGGAAGCGTTCGCAAAAAGACGTGAGTTGGAACTGAAAAAGACGCAAGTTTTGTTAGGGCGGCGCTTCCGCCAAAAGACAAATTGTCACATCCCGGCAGAGTTTGGAACCTTTTAATTACAAGCTGATGACCATTGCTACGGCTCATGTGTAAACTGATGTCTTGTCACTTACGGCATGGCATCATCCGATGACAGCTGTTGTCATGTCCGGTAGCCGGCTTTGCTGAAGATTGATTAATTATCTTTATTTAAAGCTAGCGGGATTACCATTAGCGTCAGATGAGGGTCCGTTTTCAAATGGGCCCTGACTCGACGTCATTAAGCTGTCAGGCTATTTGGTGAACTTTCGGTTGGGATATGATCCCATCTTGTTCATATTTGATTTATTTCATTCATAATTATTACCCGATAAAAAAAGCATGATATGCTGGATTAATTAATGAGCCCTTGTCATCTGTTGGATTTACATTGTAGCTCGAAGTTTCTGGGCTCATAAGGACCTTTTCTTTGTAAGCCTGGCTCTACTAGCCACTTGCCCGCTCCGTAAACCTCCCTCTCCGTGTAACACGCTCCCCTCTGCGGCATTTCCAGGGCCCAGTTCCGCCGCTTCCTGGGCCGTACGGTGAACAAGGCACGCGACCGCGCCGAGGTGATCGCGCAGAAAATGTCGCACGTGCGCCACCGAGAGGAGCGCGACGCGTTCGAGTCGCTCGACGGCGTGGCGGACGCACACACCGTCATCAGAGTGCCGGTGAGAAGGGATTGGGGAGAGCAGTGGGGGAAAGGGAAGGGTAGGCGGGGGCAGTGCTGTTGCTCGTGGCTACTGACTTTCCACTTTGTTCTGTTATGGAGATTGGTTTAGTTGACTGGGTGTGGCATTGTTGGTGTATAATTAGGTTGTGTTGTGAATCGTTGCTTCTTTTGTTGATGGTCACTCATGTGACCTGAATAATTAGTGGTGTCAAGCTCGCTTTAGACTGCATTATGTGAGACTGTTCTGGCTTTCGAGGTTTGAACTATGAATACTGCATTGTCTCTCAGCATGTGCGGGTAATATGATGATCGTATGATGATCGTGGTCGATGATCGCTTGTCGATCGTGGCGTTTAATCGCTTTGCCTATCGTGTCCTCCAGATGAAGGCATCCAGCAGCCACAAGGGTCCGTACGAGTTCGATCAGCTGCTGTTCGTGCAGGACTTCAAGAGCGAACACATCGGACCCGTCTGGTGTATGAAGTTCTCCGCCTGCGGCAGGTAAGTCATATTCAGGGTGTCTCGACGGTGCGGACTTTGTTTCGTACGGATGTGATTTCGGCAATGCACAGGGTCCGTTGCATTATGGTGATTGGTGATGCTTTAATACGAAGTGATAAGTGTCAATATGAATGGATATATTTTAACACATAGGTAGCAGTTAATTAAGCCCATGATTAACAAACAATCCGCTAGTAGCGTTGGTATTTGTTGTTGTTGCAATTGTTTCTGTTTTTTTTGTTTTTTTTTTTAGAAGGTCCTGTGACTCGACCCATCCATCATTACCCGTGACGACTTTTGATAACCCGCCGTGACCAGTGCTGAGCCGCTGTTACTCTTGTTGATCTTCTGTGACCCTTGGCCCATGCTGACCTGTCAATACCCGTGCTGGGTGCTGACCCCTGTCCCCGTGCCGCCAGGCTGCTGGCCACCGCGGGTCAGGACCACGTCCTGCGGGTGTGGGTACTCAAGTCGGCCTACCACTACTTCTGCGACATGCGCACCAAGTACTCGGCCGAGAAGGTGTCGCCCACGCCGTCACAGGTAGACTGAGGCTGAGAGTAACGCTGCCAACCGGCTAGGGGGGGGGGGTCTGGAGTGGATGTTGGATACGTGGGTCTCACACGTATACACGGGTCTCACACGGGTCTCTAAAACTGCTGGTAGTGTGGTAGGAAAACTTGCTGTCAGATGGAGTTCGCTGCGCTGGTTAAAGGTTTGCGGATTTACGGTGAGCTGATGTGTTCTGCCGTGACAACCAAGAAAAGCGTAACTCGCATTTTTTCGATTTTGAGATTTTGATACCATTAGATAGAGAATAGCAATCTCCATCTTTCTGCAAAACCGTTTTTCGAAATTCGTATTATTTTTCGAGTTATATCAAATTTTCTTTTTCGAGAAAAGCGTAAATGTTCTTCATCCTCCCTGACCGCAAGCAAAAAAGCGTAACTGCAAACGCAGCTATTAAAAAAGCGTATCTGCAGCGGTCAGGACGATGTGATAGGCAAGAAAAGCGCAACTACGTAGTTGCGCTTTTCTTGCTTATCACCGCGCTGACTTTTACGCACTTGCGCTTTTTTGCCTTTCAGGTGAGTGCATAACACTTGGTAGAAGTTTAATTTTGCCAGGAAAATTTGCATTAAAAATATATTAAGCCCTTCTTGCTTGCGTTTGCCGCCTTTCTATGTTTCACCAATATCTTCTAGTAGGTATCCGGGCGTTTGAATGGAGGAAAACTGCAAGATAAAAGCAACCAAAGTTCAAAACCACCAACTTGAAATAGTAGGTATAGGTATGGGGTGCCATGCCTGATGCCATACCCTTGACCAAGGCCACACGAGCGATATCAAATAGTTTACTTTATTTATTGTTGTGCATGCTCGCTGTGAACTCTTATCAGAAGCGTGTGCAAATTGCGGTTTAGGAGCAGACTTGGTCTCTGAAGAGGTTTAGAACTGAAGCGATAAAAAAAAAAAACGGAACAAAGGTCCACGTGCAGCTAAAGGAAAATGTGAAATCAGGAGTAGAGTCGAGCGAGTTCTGGTGAAATAGGACGATCAGGGGCGGGATCTTCCCACCTGCATTTCGACATCCCAGCATTAAGAGAGGCGACCCAACCCCACATGGCCGCCCGGCCAGCCAGCACCGGCAGAGCTGACCATATGGCCGCCCGGCTTGCCCGGTCTGCCAGCCCCGACAGGGCCCCCCCCCCAGGCCCGACCTCCCAGCACCGACAGGGGCGAGACCCCAAGGCCTCCTGGCCTGCCAGCACCGACAGGGGCGACCCCAAGGCCGCCCGACCTGCCAGCACCGGCATAGGCGACCCAACGGCCCCACGCCCGCCCGGCCTGCCAGCACCGGCAAAGACGACCCCACGGCCGCCTGACCCGCCAGCATCGGCAGAGGTGACCCAACGGCCGCCCGGCTTGCCCGACCTGCCAGCACCAGAAGAGGCGATACAAAGGCCGCCAGGCTTCCCGACCTCCCAGCACCAACGGGGGCGACAGCCGGCAACGTTGCCGCCCGGCCTGCCCGACCTCCCAGCACCGACAGGGGCAACCCCAAGGGAGCCTGGCCTGCCAGCACCGAAGGAGGCGACCCCACGGCCGCTTGGCCTTGCAGCACCGGCAGAGGTGATCCCACGGCCGCCCGGCTTGCCCGACCCGCCAGCACCGACAGAGGCGACCCCACGGCTGCCCGGCCTGCCAGCACCGGCAGAGGCGACCCCAAGGCCGCCAGGCCTGCCAGCACCGGCAGAGGCGACAACGTGGCCGCCCGGCCTGCCCGACCTGCCAGCACCGGCAGAGGCGACCCCACGGCTGCCCGGCCTGCCAGCACCGGCAGAGGCGACAACGTGGCCGCCCGGCCTGCCCGACCTGCCAGCACCGGCAGAGGCGACCCCACGGCTGCCCGGCCTGCCAGCACCGGCAGAGGCGACAACGTGGCCGCCCGGCCTGCCCGACCTGCCAGCACCGGCAGAGGCGACCCCACGGCTGCCCGGCCTGCCAGCACCGGCAGAGGCGACCCCACGGCTGCCCGACCTGCCAGCAACAGCAGAGGCTACCCCAAGGCCGTCCGGCTTGTTCGGCCTGCCAGCACAGACAGATGAAACCCCGCGACTGCGCGGACTGTCAGAACTGACAGGGACGAAAACATGGCCGCCCGGCCTGTCAGCACGAAACAAAGTGACCCCACGGCCGCTTGGTCTTGCAGCACCGTCAGAGGTGACCCCACGGCCGCCCGGCTTGCCCGACCCGCCAGCACCGACAGAGGTGATCCCACGGCCGCCCGGCTTGCCCGACCTGCCAGCACCGGCAGAGGCGACCCCACGGCTGCCCGGCCTGCCAGCAACGGCAGAGGCTACCCCAAGGCCGCCAGGCCTGCCAGCACCGGCAGAGGCGACAACGTGGCCGCCCGGCCTGCCCGGCCTACCAGCACCGGTGGAGGCGACCCGACGGCCGCCCGACCCGCCAGCACCGGCAGAGCTGACCATACGGCCGCCCGGCTTGCCCGACCTCCCAGCACCAACAAGGGCGACCCCAAGGCCGCCCGACCTGCCAGCACCGGCAAAGGCGACCAAACGGCACCACGGCCGCCCGGCCTGCCAGCACAGACAGATGAAACCCCGCGGCCGCTCGGACTGTCAGAACTGACAGAGGGGAAAACGTGGCCACCCGGCCTGCCAGCACGAAATGAGGCGACCCCACGGCCGCCCGACCTGCCAGCACCGGCAGAGTTGAGCCCACGCCCTCCCGGCCTGCCAGCACCGGCAAAGACGACCCCACGGCCGCCTGACCCGCCAGCATCGGCAGAGGTGATCCCACGGCCGCCCGACCTGCCAGCACCAGAAGAGGCGACCCAAAGGCCGCCAGGCTTCCCGACCTCCCAGCACCAACATGGGCGACAGCCGACAACGTGGCCGCCCGGCCTGCCCGACCTCCCAGCACCGACAGGGGCAACCCCAAGGAAGCCTGACCTGCCAGCACCCAAGGAGGCGACCCCACGGCCACTTGGCCTTGTAGCACCGGCGGAGGCGACCCCACGGCCGCCCGAATTGCCCGACCTGCCAGCACCGGCAGAGGCGACCCCACGGCTGCCCGGCCTGCCCGGCCTGCCAGCAACGGCAGAGGCTACCCCAAGGCCGCCAGGCCTGCCAGCACCGGCAGAGGCGACAACGTGGCCGCCCGGCCTGCCCGACCTGCCAGCACCGGCAGAGGCTACCCCAAGGCCGCCAGGCCTGCCAGCACCGACAGAGGCGACAACGTGGCCGCCCGGCCTGCCCGACCCGCCAGCACCGGCAGAGGCAACCCCACGGCTGCCCGGCCTGCCAGCACCGGCAGAGGCGACCCCACGGCTGCCCGGCCTGCCAGCAACAGCAGAGGCTACCCCAAGGCCGTCCGGCCTGTTCGGCCTGCCAGCACAGACAGAACCCCGCGACTGCGCGGACTGTCAGAACTGACAGGGACGAAAACATGGCCGCCCGGCCTGCCAGCACAAAACAAAGCGACCCCACGGCCACCCGACCCGCCAGCACCGGCAGAGGTGACCCCCACGACCGCCCGGCTTGCCCGACCTGCCAGAACCAGAAGAGGCGACCCAAAGGCCGCTAGGCTTCCCAACCACCCAGCACCAACATGGGCGACAGCCGACAACGTGGCCGCCCGGCCTGCCCGACCTCCCAGCACCGACAGGGGCAACCCCAAGGGAGCCTGACCTGCCAGCACCGAAGGAGGCGACCCCACGGCCACTTGGCCTTGCAGCACCGGCGGAGGCGACCCCACGGCCGCCCGACCCGCCAGCACCGGCAGAGCTGACCATACGGCCGCCCAGCTTGCCCGATCTGCCAGCACCGAAGGAGGCGGCCGCTCGACCTGCCCTACTTGCCAGCACCGACAGGGGCGACCCCACGGCCGTCCGGCCTGCTAGCACCGGTATAGGCGACCCCACGGCCTTCCAGCCTGTCCGACCTGCCAGCACCGAAGGGTGCGACCTGACGGCCGCGATTGCTAAGCATGAAGCATGAAGTCTTAGCATGAAAAGTCGTGAGCTATTTCGAAAGGCATCTAGGCATCCGAAATGGAGAAAAGACGTTTTCGTCCTGGCGTATTTGAAACACCGCATATTCGCCGATACCATAAGATCTCGCAAGCAAAAGAAGCGTAACTACGTAGTTACGCTTCTTTTGCATTTCGCTATGGAGCCGCGCGCTGCACATACGGTTGCCGGACTGGAGTGAATGTAGTTACGCTTTTCTTCCCTACATGCCTCGCTGCAATTTGAGCATCGAGTGAAAAGCAAAAACACCTTACACCATTTTCTAGCAATATCTTATATGCCACGTAAAAAATATTTACACTGTTAGGTTCAGTGCAGTATTGCGAACAGTTTGACACCAAGTTTTCTTTGATTGTTTAAGAACCGACGATAATACAAGGTAAAACGGAAAAATCGCTCTCCTGAAAAATCGTCAAAAGCGAGTTACGCTTCTTTTCCTTTTCACGGCAGTGTTAAACTTGTTCATGTGGGCTGCATCGTTTTTTTATTGTGTCCTTATTTCATTATTTTTATATAACCAATAACCTAGGGATGTTAGGTCGGGGTTAGTTTTTTAATACTCTTTGGCCGGCTCTCCTGGTCAAATCTGCGTCCTTCCACCATCAGTTTATTATGTCTGGCGGCTGTGTGCAGTGTAATTGTGCGTGTGACGACTGCTGATTCCATGTCCTCTCGCCAGGAGTCTCTGGTGTCGCACCACTCGTCCGAGGAGCCGCTGGCCTCGGTTGACGCCACTTGCGAGGAGGAGGCCTACGCTCCCTTCATGTCACGACCGCTCTGCAAATACACGGGTCACACGGCCGACCTGCTGGACATCAGCTGGTCAAAGGTAGGTCTGCTAGTCATATCAACTGGCCAAAAGTTGAGCGCCGCCTCCAAACTGCGCCTGAGTCGCTGGAGAGATAGTTGGATAGGCAGTGATCTGATTAAGTAAGGTGAAGTTAATTTTTCGTTGAGCAAATCGTGAAAAGATCGTTTCGGAAAACGTCTGGAATTCTGTATGTTCCATCGTCAGCACAATTACGGACCACGGTCTGACTTCCCCATTTGTAATTCACGTAAACAACCTCTAGTCAACGTTGCCGTAAACCCCAATAAATGAACCTCCTCTCATCTGCAACTCACCATTGTGTGTCCCGTGTCGTTGCAGAACTACTTTATTCTGTCGTCGTCAATGGACAAAACGGTGCGTCTGTGGCACATATCGCGTAAGGAGTGTCTCTGCTGCTTCCAGCACATCGAGTTTGTCACCGCCATCGCCTTCCACCCGAAGGTAAGAAGGGTGTTGAGCAACTTAACCAGTATAACGCCTTTTGGGGCGACTAACGGAGCGAGCGAGAGGGTGGGCCTGGCACGTGCCAAATTTCGAGGGGGTACCTCCAGCTGAATTATGCACGGCACCCTACTAACCGGTCTCTGAGCACAATCGGCCCAGCCGTTCTCGAGATCTGGAAGCGGCACCCTGCACGTGCGCACGTGCAAAATGGGTCCCAACTGACTTGTGCACGGCACCCTTCTAACTGGTCCCTAACCGTGTACCAAATTTGAGCACCATCGGTCCAGCCGTTCTCGAGATCTGGAAACGACCCCTGCACGTGCGCACGTGCAGCAGCACCCCAACTCTGGCACATGGATATGCAGTGCCTAGTGGGTACCTACCTACATGCCAACTTTCAGCACAATCGGCCAAGTAGTTACCGAGATATTGCAACAATTACAAAACGGACACCTCTTCGTTTTGCACGTGGCACGTGTATAAGGGGTCACCCACATGCATCGGGAACAGTCCAATACTTGGTAGAAGGAATGAAGCTACCCTACAAAAATTACGGCGTGTAAATCGGTCAAGTGGTTGCTGAGATATAGGCCTCGCAAAAGCGTCCGCACGGCCGGCCGGCCGGCCGCTCATACTCAGAAATTTCCGTGCTTCGCTCGCTCCGTAATAAGGGTGTTATTTTGCCTAGTGTATTTTCTGTAAGTACATATTTCACCTGTGCTTTTAACAGCTAATGTTTTGATGTGTCGTAAAATTGCTGGACTCAGCAAAGAGATGTATCTATTTACTGGAGTTCTGCGGGTATAGATTATACAGGGATCTAAGCTTTCAATAATAATAGTAGCTTTCATTTCAACCTCTGAGTAGTACCCGACAGTCAGCTTCAATCAGGTCCAGAGAATCTGATCCTGTTCAATTATTTTCTACTTAATAGCCAGCACTTATGCATAATCTCCTGTTCAACTGACAGGCTTGCCATTCTTCCCGATCATTAACCCGTTTGACCAGTCACCGATAAAGGGGGGGGGGGGCAGCAGGGGACTGGTTGGGGCAGTGAACCGGGAAGGGATTTTGTAATGACTAACGACAGATATGTGCAGCAGAACACATTGTCTGAAACGCTGTGCCGGGCCTAATCTGTGAATTTGCGGGTTATCTCAGCCCCCGTTCACGAGCTCCAGAATCCCTTTACCGTGACGTCACTACGGCGGTAGAATCTCCCTTCACCCATAGGCATGCATACAAATTTCGTCATCTTTCGAGCGAGCTGGAGAAAAAAAAAGGATTATGTGTCATCAAAAGTTGTACCAATGTAACAATGAGTTCGCCTCATTACGATAAATGGGGCTGAAACTAAAAAATGGGGCTATATTGAGCCAAAATCAGCAATTCAAATGACCCCTTCATTTGAACGTGAAGGATTTCCTCTGATGACGTCACCACGGCGCCTTTATTTCCCTAGTGAACCAACCTGAGTAGTAAAGGAATCTTGGGTTATCTGCCTGCATTGAACCTTGAAGTCCTCTGTTGCTAAGCAATGTTCACGGCTTTATGTTACGTGCGGACTAGGACAGGTGTTGTGTTCGATCTGGCTGATAATGCCATTTTTTGGTAGCATTGGGCTGAGTATGTTGGAAAGGATAAGTCTGTTTGGCGGACTCATTTTAGTCCCTGACTGTGTCTGATTTGGTTTGGGGGTGTTGTACGATGATCTACAATGATGACCTGCGAATGACCCAAGATGACCATGGACAAAACGTGTTCCCGCCCGGGATCGAACCGGGGACCTTCCGCGTGTGAAGCGGACGTGATAACCACTACACTACGGAAACGCCTGGTGGGTTACGCGGCAGTGACTGTTGAGGCTGATGTTCGTGGTAGCCTCTTGCACTAGTAGGCTTCCATCGTTATTGTCCCCCTTATTGAGCTGCTTTTGCTGACACGTAGCCTCATATTCTCCAGGACGATCGCTACTTCTTGTCCGGCTCGTTGGACGGAAAGCTGCGGCTCTGGAACATTCCCGACAAGAAGGTGGCGCTCTGGAACGAGCTGGATGGCCAGGCCAAGCTGATCACCGCCGCCAACTTCTGTCAGGTGAGTCTGCGAGAGGATGACGGTGAGCGCCGCGGCCCGCGACAAGCCATTCTGAGCTCAATGTGCCCACATTTCCCTCATGCCTTTGCGCCCATCGTTACGCAATCATCTCGCATCCTTGGCTCAGCCCGTTCTAGCCATCTAGCTAGCCCGTCTAATAGAAATAGAGTCGACATCTTATCCCTCTTTCCATGGGCATTCATATTTGTAGTCTCCCTTCTTTTCCTCCACGGGAATGCTTTTACCTTGCTACCTGCTAAAGGTTTTGGTAAATTGCCTTTCTATTTTAGGCAGTATGAATGCTTTTGCACAACAGTGGTTGTAGCTTTTTGGAGCCGCTCGCATCCTCGTCAGGCAATCGAAAGCAAAACATCTGCATGCATGTTTAATAACACATCTCGGGAGTCGGGGAACTACGCCCCGAATCTAAGGAAACTGTTATTTCTTTTCCTCGGCACGTCATTACACATTCCAAGACGCATCGGTGCTTGAAACTAAAGCATGCGACGCGTGCAGCGTCAGCTGAGAACGCGTTATTTTGACGTCGCCTGAATCAGTATGGCAACTCTTCATCAGACTTCCCAAACAAGAGGCCGATAGACGCCTTCTCCACCTCGAAATAGTTTTTTTTTTTGCGCTATTGACCTTTCCGCCATTTGGGTATGCTAAGCCGTCTTGGAGACCTTATCCCGCGGGGAGCTTCGAATTTGCACAATGCACAATCCCCAATTCTTTCTGGTGGGACATTCCTGTTGCTTGGGAAGTCCGATTAGCTAGTTTTACCACATATTATCAGGGCAGCAGAATCCACACATGGCCTTACAGGCGGAAACCGGTGTAGTTTTTTATGGATGCTTTAGATTTTAGCAGGATAGGATGATTGTTTTGCGTCCCGCCGACTGTTTCCTTCAGACGATAGCAGGTGGTTTCGCCCTTTCTGCGGTCCTTTGTTGTCAGCAGTTTTCCGTGGGGTAGCCCGAGCCAAGCCCGAGCTGTCGGTGTGATCGCATGGCCAGCAGCGCTAGTTTTCTGCGCGAACCTTTTTCTGAGCTATTCGGCTCGAATTAACGGCACAACCGAAAGCGGCGGCATTCAATTGAACTGCCGTTGCATTCGGCCATTACACATAGATGCATTGTTTTCTTCAGCGCCTGTTTTATTTGTAAGTATTGCCATTTCACAAGGTACGGTCTTGTGAGTCACTCTCCTAGCTGAAACACGAAACTGCTTATGCCACACAAATGCCATCCATTCCTTTACGGATCATATATATGCACGAGAATGCCCATTGAAATCTCAGCACGGAACACTTGTTGGAAATGCAATACCAATGTAGGGAATTGCATTAACTGCGCCACATACTACAAATGTTAAAACACTTCAGGTCAATAGATGCTACATGAGTTATCGCACTATAAGGCGGAGACGCGACCGCCTTAACCCGCGCGGGGCTGGGGGGGGGGGTAAATTTTACCCCCCTTCGCGAATTTTTGCGATATCTCAAAAACGGCGGCGCGCAGCGCCGCCAAACTTTCAGTACCTTTTCTTACATCAATTTGACACGTTCCCTGAAAATTTGAGCGAAATCCGTCGGAAAATTTTTGAGAAATTGACGTTTTAGTGACGTCATGTTCGCCATTTTCGCCTCAAAAACGGCAAAAGTTCAAACGCCGCTTACATCTTCATTTTTAAAGGAATCAAGACGTAACAAAAAAGGATATACGTAATTCTACTTTGTCTATCAAATGGCTATCTCGGTTTTTTCGAAATTTTGGATTTTGGCCCAAATTTTTTCAAAAAACTGACTTTTTTGGGAAAATAGCTATAAAATCCAAAATTTTGAGTGTATCGAAAAAACCGGAATATATGTCAGAGAATTAGTCTATGTGCACCTACACACCAAGTTTTAGAAGAATCGGTTCAAAAATGTGGGAGTTATTCAAAATTGTATGACGTCACGACACACAAAAATTTTGAAAAATGACTTTTTTGGAAGTTCTAGACCTCGTACGGAAACAAAAATAGCACCATTCGATTCGCCGTGAAAAACTGCATCAGATAGACACCTTTTTAGGCCTTAACAACCAACTTCAAAATTTGACCTCATTTGACCTGACCTTGACCTGACCTCGGCCTGAAATTCATCCAGAGGTGGTCCATATCACTTATTGAGTGTGCCTATTGAATTCTATGAGTAAAATGACCCATAAAACATGTGTCGCACATGCCCTTTTCTATATTTTGTTTTTGGTGACCTGACCTGACCTGACCTGACCTGACCTTGACCTTGACCTCTGAATGATATTGTATGCAACGAATATTGTCTTGGTAGCCTAAGAACACGTTTTGGGCGATCAGTCTCAGTCCATGACTCCATTCTTCGGCAACTACGGTGCAAGGCCCATACTGTAGGAACTTGCAATTTGTACCCTTGACCTGACCTTGACCTTGACCTCAAACTTAAAATTAAGTACATGTTTTTAGTTGTTCGTGATGAGATCTTTCGATTGGCGTTTGAATTTTCCAAATCGGACCATTAGTTCGGGAGATAACAGGGGGGGGGGGGGTAAAATTTACCCCCCCCCCCCAGCCCCGCGCGTTCGGCTGGAGACCCCAGCCCCGCGCGGGTTAAACGCTCGTCTGCTTCGCCTCCTCAAGCATCTCAGCGGTGGTGGTTTCGATGAAGTCCACGTAGTTGTCGAGTCGGAGCGCCACCTCGGGCTGCTGCTGCTGGCAGCCGGAGAGAAGGCGCAGACCGACCAGCCGGCTGGGGCCCGGCCCGGCGGTCACCAGCGGACCGCCCGAGTCGTGCGAGCACGGCGCGTCCTGTGAGCGCACCACGCACACCTCAGAGCTCTCCATCAGACCCTGGGGGAAGATGAAGCCGAGGTGCGGCAGGCCCTCGAACTGCTGGCTGCAGACCTGCAGCGGCGCCACCGAGGCGCTGTGTCTGGCCAGCCGCCCGCCGCTGGCCGTCGCCGTGGGCTGCGCGCCGCCCAGCTCGCCGGAGAGGTCAAACGCAGCGGCCACCAGCAGGGTGTCGGCTGGCAGCGGCTCGCCCTGGCGCGGCAGGCAGACGGGCCGCACACGGCGGGTTACGGTCGCCGGACGGTCCAGCAGCAGCAGAGCCAGGTCATCACGCTGAGCCGGCTGCTGGAAGCCCGGGTGGATCCTCACACTCTGCACGGCAAACTCCTGTGTGGCGCCGTCCGTGTCGGTGGCTAGGTCGTGCTCGCCGAGCCGCACCGCCAGTGAGCCATGCGCGCTGCCGGCTTCCGCGCAGTGCGCCGCTGTCAGGACCACCTTCTCAGAGACGAGCGCGCCGCCGCACAGCCAAGCCAGCGGTCCCTCGGCGGTGCGCAGGCCGACCAGCGCCGTCCACGGAGCGGTGCCCACCTGGACCACGCCGCGCGGCGGCTCGGCCACCGGCAGCTCGCGCTGGTACTCGCCGCTGCCCAGCAGGAAGAGACGCTCCGGGTCGGTGATGCCGCAGCTGCTGGAATCGGCTGTGGAAGCGGCCGTAGAAGCGTCAGTAGAAGCGGTGGTGGAAGCGTCAGTAGAAGAAGTGGTGGAAGCGTCAGTAGAAGCAGCGGTAGAAGCTTCAGGGGCGGGGGTAGTAGCGTCAGTAGATACTACAGGAGCGTCAGTAGACACCGTGGGGACGTTAGTAGAAGCGGTAGTAGAAACTTCGGTAGGAGCGGCGGTAGATGCTTCAGAGGCGGTGGTAGGAGAGTCAGTGGGAGCGGCAGTGGACGCGAGGGTAGGAGCGTCAGTAGAAGCCTTAGCGGGGACGGCAGTAGGAGCGTCGGTAGGCACTGTGGGGACGGTTGTAGAAGCGGCGGTAGATGCTTCAGGGATGGGAGTAGGAGCGTCAGTAGGATTGGTGGGAGCGTCAGTAGGCGCGACAGTAGAAGCGGGGGTAGGAGCTTCAGTAGGCGCAGTCGTAGGAGCGTCAGTAGACACTGTAGGGGCGTCAGTGGGAGCGTCGGTGGGGACGGCAGGGGTCGTGCTGGGAGCGACTGTAGGAGCTGTGGTTGCGGCTGCAGTAGAAGCGGTAGTGGGGTCGGTGGTGGACGCGTCAATAGGGGCGGGAGTAGGAGCGTCAGTAGATGGGGTGGGGGTCACAGTAGGAGGATCCGTAGGAACAGTAGGGGCCGTAGTTACTTCAGAAGTAGCGGCTGTAGGAGCGGCGGTCGGGCCATCAGTAGGACCGGATTTAGTTGCTTCAGTAGGTGCGGGGGTAGGAGCGTCGCTAGAAGTATCAGTAGGTGCCGAAGTAGGAGCGTCAGTAGAGGCGGCAGTAGGGTTTGTACTTGGGGCATCAATAGGTATGGCGGTAGAAGTGTCAGTAGAAGCTTTAGTAGGGGCCGCGGTGGAAGCGTCAGTGGGGAGGTCAGTGGGCGTACCAGTATGTGCAGCGGTGGGGGCGTCAGTTGATCCCTTCGTGGGGGCCGGTTCCGTTGACGGCAGGGTCGGCGGCTGTGTCGGCGGAGTCGGAGGCTGTGTCGGCTGAGTCGGCGGCGGGGTCGGCACCTCCGTGCTGCTCAGCTGCCCCAGTGTGTCAGGCAGGACGTCGCTGAGCGCGCAGCAGACGATGGGGTCGATGGCGTCGAAGCGGCAGACGCGCGGCCGCAGTGTCAGCAGCGAGCTGAGGGTGGGGAAGGCGGCACACCGGCGCGCCGTCGCCGACACGCACAGGCCCGGCCGGCCGTCACGGGTCTCACATCGGTCCGTCGGGGGCATCTCCGGGAAGAAGATACTGGCGGCGTGGGCGCAGGGCACGGCCGCCAGCACGGCGGCCACCAACACTGCGAGACGCATATCCGTGAGCTGTGCAGACGACGAACACAGGAACACTGAGGTGCGGACACAGACAAGGACGCACTGACCCGACACGTTAAGTCTCGTTGTCGGAGCGCCGGCGGAGGTAGCGCACCTGGTGGCGGTCGACACGGGAGTGGGGCGCTGTCGGCGGCGGGCTGCCCCGGCACCCAGCTCCTCCCCTCCGTGGAGCGCCGCGGGCGCCGCCAGGACAGAACCGGTTCCGCGACTGTGCGGCGGCGGCAGCAGTGATGACGACCCAGCGGCGGCACACCGGTGCTAAGTGTTCAGCTCAAGGCTGAGTCTGTGATGAACAATGACCGTAGTTCTGCAGATTGATTCGAGACGGCAGTTACATAGTCCATCGACGCCCGTTCATGAGACCCCAGTCTTGTCAGGGACTTGTGTGTGGGCATTGCGCATGTATGGGCCACGGCGGCAGGTTTCTGATCGGCTGGAAGCCCGTTTTCATGATCGTTTATGGATTAGCGACGATGTTTTGTGTGCTGCCGGAACTCTTTAGTATGGATGAGGCGGGAATTCCAAGGGCGATTGTATCTCCAACGAGGCACGTGGGCCTCGTGTAAGTAACGTGGCTTATCATTGATTTATAATATCGGACTAATCGATGGTAATTATCTTCTGTATGAGACGTCATTTTTCTTTGCTGTGCTTGATTAATTACTTTGTTTTCATTGTATCCGTATCGTCATCACATCACTGAATGCTGTTCGTCTATCGTCCATGTCGTGTAGCTTAGAACATACCGCGCGGGATAGGTCGCTTTCTCAGCGGCGACGCATAGCACAGACCTCCCACCGTTACGTTTCCAGGGCGGTCATTTCGTCTCGATGGAATCCCACTGACCCCCCCCCCCCCCATTTCACAGGGCGGTCGGTTCGCGGTGGTGGGATCGTACGACGGCCGGTGTCTGTTCTACTCTACCGACCAGCTGAAGTACCATACCCAGATCCACGTGCGTTCCACCCGAGGGAAGAACGCTCGCGGACGGAAGATCAGCGGCATCGAGCCCATGCCCGGCGAGGATAAGGTATGTACGGCGGCCAAGCTCACGTCACCTGTGGTAACTGAAGGTTGATGGAACCGGCAGTAATGAGTTCAAGTTGTGGTAGCTGAGGCTGATCACATTCTATCCAACTGAGGCTAACACCGGCCACTCGATAGCTAACCCAGCACGAATGTTTATTGCAAAAAATGTGAGAACAATGTTAGCCACGATATAACACTATTCGGTAGGCTGGTATTTCAGAGGCACTGACGCTGTTATTTCCACCATAATGCTCACCTGGTCAGGAATGATAGCAGTCTTTCCGACGTGGTTTAGTCACGCTCCTCGCAAGTTACATAATTTACAATGCTGTATTGTGCTCATTGTTGTTTGTGCATTGTGTCCACAAGGATTACAATGTGCTGATAATATGCCTTTGTTTTGTGTTCGATTTCTCTCGTTTTAAAACCATACTGCAACGCGCTGATTAGTTGGGCCGAACCGGCAATCAGAGTGGGTGTCATTGTCCTTGAGGGAAACGACCTGTGGTTTGGTGCATTCATTACCCGCCCAGATTTGTGGCATGGACAGAAGGGCACAGGTGAAGGGTCTATCGGATAGACACTGCAAACCGGTTTGTTTCATGGACTGCAGATGACTTCATAACAGAAGCTCGTCAAACCGAATTTCGGTGTCTGTATTCTGATTCATTCTGGGCTCGGGTGATATCCACATTCAAAACGGGTGGCATTGTGAAACACGAAACTGTTTGTGATGCGTGCGTTAAATGCTCGTACACTGGTGTTCAGAATCTTTTAGGTGGTTTGAGCCCTTCATTATCTTATTTGAGAACCTTAGTCGGCAAGAACAAGTACCCACCCAAGTCTCCATGTTTCGGATTCCCCACAATCTGAATTCTGTCCTTTAAATCATAGAAACATCCGGACATTGCCTTTGTGTTGTCAGGCCCGAAGGCCACCGATGACTGGGGGATTATAGATGTCACAGGATGAGCTGTTCTGGTGTTATTAACCGCATGTTAAGCATGCGAAACACAATTGGAATTTGGACGTCAGGCTATATGAAAAAAAAAAGAAATCGGGTTGCATCAGTTCTTTATCGAAGTCTACAGGGCAATATATCTCTCGCTTCATCCGGGACTCGATGGTATTGCATATTCTTATACCGGTATTTGATTTTTCTGCTCACCGCCACTTCACCTCCAAACTCACTGAGTTGACCGCTGACCTGACCTCTAACCGCACTTTCTCCGACCAGATTCTGGTGACGTCCAACGACAGCCGTATTCGTCTGTACGACCTGCGCGACCTCAACCTGTCGTGCAAGTACAAGGGCTTCACAAACACCAGCAGTCAGATCCGCGGCAGCTTCAGGTCAGTGACGGTGCCGAGATGCCGTCAGCGCCGCCACTGAGAGCGGTGTGCCTCGGCGTGGAGTTTTGACCGTGGGACTATAGACACAGTGGTTCTGCTTGAGCTCCTGTGGTGACCCTGAGTGGTGTGTGGGATCTATTACTTTGATAAGATCTTGCGGAGCTACAATGCAAATGGTTCGTGTCAATGTTCCGCTGTGGTAATTAGGTTTGATAATGTACTCTATTGAGCTTCAGTAATTACGTTGCGATAATGATAACGTACGACCGGTAAAGCGATGATGAGGCCGTTTGGCCCGAACAATGGTCGGTTTGAACTACGGTGGTTGTAAATTCATTTCCGCATTGGCGATCGTGGAATACCCATATCTTGTTTCCGGGTAGGAAGCAAGGTTCCATTCCATACTTTCTATTTCATGGAATTGGTTTGCGCCTGAACTTCGCTGTTCCCTTGTTGGCTTTTTGATGTTGCATGACAGGACGTTTTTAGGCAATCTTTTTCAATCTAATTGTTCACTGCTGGGCTGCCCTTCCCTTTTGTATGACGTCACCTGTGTTTTTCTAACGCCACTATACGTGTCTGACGTCACACCTGTGCCCCCGGCAGTCACGACGGCAAGTACATCGTGGTGGGTTCCGAAAACCAGTGCGTCTACATCTGGAAAACCCACCACGACTACTCAAAGTTCTCGTCGGCGCGGCGCGACCGGAACGACTTCTGGGAGGGAATTAAGGGTGAGTCACACGACGGGGAAGACCGGTTTGAGGGGGCGGGGACAGGCGGGACACATCAGTGATGATTATACAGTGATTTGGAACGTGAAGTGAATGGCAAGTAGCGATGTATCGGCCCTCATCAGCTTCAGGTGTTGTTGATGGAGTGGAATTTCCAGAGTTTTCCGGTGTTGTTTTATTCATCAGTTTCCTGGACGTTGGCCTAGTTTTATTCCGCGGTCAGCTGTGGTTTCGTTGAACTGTGAGCTGCTGGGCCTATGCTGAAAGGTCAGAACGGGTTAGGATGTGGTCAGGTCGGGTGAACCGCGAGGGGATAAAGTGGTCGGTCTCTACTTCCGACTTTGCTCGATGCATCCTATTCGCCTTACCTATCTCTCAGTGGGCTTTCCGACAGGAACTTCCTGGACGCATGTGACCACTGTTTGTTCGCCTCCGGTGCCCCAAAACTAGTCATTGCTTTCCACCGGTCTCCTCAGTCACTAGAACTGGAAAGTCAGGCTGTTGCGGGAAAGTCGTTGCCCTGTTTTTAGTAGCATGACAACCGGTCTTGAAGATATGAACGTTCCTTGTGACCTATACTGTCTCCCTTTCCTTAGCTCACGGGACGCAGGTGATTGATTTTGACTCCCTCCTCTCCGCCAGCTCACAAGGCGCCGGTGACGTGTGTGACCTGTGCTGACCCCTCTCTCTCCCTCCCCTACTTGCCATATGACCTGTACTGACACCTCTCTTCCCCTCCCCAGCTCACGAGGCGCAGGTGACGTGCGCTCTGTTCGCGCCTCACCCAGACCTCATCTTCTCCCACGTTGACGGCGAGCTGACGCGGCTGGAACAGGAGCGGGGCGAGCGCGGGTCGCAGAGCTCGGCCAGCCCCGACCCGACGCCACCCGCCGAGGACGCCAAAAAGGACTCACTCGACAAGAAGTCGGTGGGGAGTGGCGGCACGTCCACCATGGGTTACGTGCTCGTCACAGCCGACTTCAACGGCATCATCAAGGTGTTCCTGAACCGGACGCGGCCGAAACACAGCAGCCTGCCGGCCTCGGCGCTAATGAGAGAGGCTCCGGCCACTCCGCGGTGAGGGGGCGCCCGGCTGGCGGCGGCGCTGAGCGGGGCCGGCGGCGACGGGGTCTGATGGTGCTATATGAGTGTTTGGAAGTATCACAACTGTCTCATGCCCTTCCATAGATGGTGTGTGTGTGTGTGTGGAGAGGTATCTGTTGGTCAGGTCTGAGTGCCCGGGTCTGATGTGAGATAATCGATTTTATTTATGCTATACATTGCACTGTGCTGAGTCAGAGCCATATAACAGCTGACGAAACAGCGTCATTGTAGCCGGTGCTATCTACCACAAACCACCACATATAACCTTAAATCCTGTCAGATCATGACGTATGCACGCGGTCTTTGAATGTCTTCAGACTACAATTATGTGTGGTTTGCACACTGGGGACCAGATATGGGTGTATCTCAGTTCGCTGCCGGTAGGCATCATTCGGTGGCCGGACAGGTTGTAAGATACCTTAGCCGGATCCCAGCCCGCCTCATTGGGCTAGACGGCACCGAACAGTCCCTATGGAGTCGGACAGATGGAGCTCGCACCGTGTGGCCAGTCTCGCACAATGGGATGTGAGGAGCCGCGTCCTGTCATGTGCGGGTGTGTGTTACACAGGGCTACGGGCTACAGTACGAAGTGTCTGGGTTCGTAGCTACGTCGCATATTGGGTGATTATACGTACTGCGAGTCCACAGGCTGAGCTTTACATTGTGATTGACAACTATGCAGGCCGGTGAATGGCGTACAGAGTTATTTATTCTTGTCATTGTATTTAGATGCGCGATACTGGGTTTGTAACGTCTATGAACGCCGAAGACTGTACTGTATCACTACCATAGACGCGTATTTAGAGTCGCGTACAATGGTCCGCAGCTCAGTCAGTTCGGTGTGTCGAGTGCTCGGGACCAGGCACTAACCCTGCCGCACTGAGGCATCCTATTGTTTTCGCTATGCCTTCTGTGACAAACAGAACGCTCCTCTAGTGATCATGAGCCCACCTGCTGTTGTGATATATGCTTTGAATAAATAGAGCTGTTCTTATGGCTGGTGTTGACCTCGGGAATAAGGACCAAAACTATAAATAAACCTCGCGCCAAACTAGAGCCAATCTGCATTGAGGACACTATGACAACGAACATGCCATTGTTCTGTAGGGACATTGAGGCGGCAGCGGTCTGTCAATGGGGGCGTCTGGAAAACCTATGGGTCAGGAGGGCTGTGCAGCACAATATCAGTGAACCGCTCACGGGTCGCGCGTGTTCGGGCGATCGGAGTCCAGACTCAGGGCCCTGTTTCACCGGTGATAGCAGCACGCTGCTATCACGTTTCGCGAGCTGACGTCATGTCATGACGCCATACTGTTGACGTGATGGGCAGTTCTGGCGCATGATTGCCGCGACCTTGGCCGCGGCATTAAGTGACGTATGAGCCTCTAAAAGTGAGAGTTTACGCAGTCATGATAGTATATTTATTTTTAATATATATATTTTTAATATAATGTATTTAAAATAAGTTGGGTTTAAGGAAAATTTGGACGTTAACTTCGAACCTTTAGTTGATGACGTAAAACAATATTGCGGCAATCGTGCGCCAGAATTGCCCCTTACGTCAGCAGTATGACGTCATCACATTACGTCAGCTCGCGCAATTTGATAGTAGCTTGCTGCTATCACCGGTGAAACAGGGCCCAGAGAGTACCCAGTACCCACCCAGTATGGTTTCCTGCCACGCCGTCTGGCGGCAGCTGACCGAGACTCGGCTTATAGCAAGCACCACAGTATCGTCTGGCGGCGCTTATCACCCCCTACCGACCGGGCCCCTCCGACCGGCGCCCGGCCGGGGGCGAGGTCACCCGTCCGGGGCCGATGGCCGGCATTCTCGCGACTGACTCGACCCTCCCGTCTCAGCTCAATCGGCTCGGCACACGGCTGGTTACCCCGGCAACAACGCGGCCCGCAGATAACTAACTGCTCTCACTGAGACAAAGCAGACAGGCAGACAGACAGACAGACAGACAGACAGACAGACAGACAGACGGGCAGACGGACAGACAGACGGATTACGTCGCCGGCCATGCGGCGTGCCAGCCGGCCTTTGTTTATTGAATCAGATGGCACTGGTCGGAAATGGGGTTGTTCGTACGAGGAAATGCCTGCAGTTCTGCAAACAACACGGGACGGCCTCATTCCAAGAATGTCTTAGAGCATCACGTCATGAACGGTTACGTGGAGGGTAGATAACGTTCGCGACGTCTTCTGTAAACAGTCCTACGCCTGGTCGGCAAGTAATGACACAAGTGCCGGCACTGACAGTCGGGGCCAAAAACTAACGTGTCATATATCTGAGCCAAGGAAGCGCGCTTCAGTGCTACGTTGCCGAGGGAAAAGGGTGACGATTACGACGTTCATCAAAGTACCTATGGCAAATATTGCCAGGATTCGGCAACACATCAACAGCCAACTAGTGCAGGCTATTCTTTTTAGTGCACAGCACGTCAGCACTTTTTCTATCTGCAATACCTAAAATATCATTTCAGAGCGTTGACGCAAAACTCGACTAAAAGTTACAAAAATACGTGTTGGCAGTCGTAAAGTGCCTTCACAGTAGGGTCAAAACGACATTTTTGCCCTCGCTCAAAATAAGTTTTTCCATGAATTGCTGACACATCACGCCGCTACTGCCTGAGCCTTTACTGTCTGAGCCTTACAAAGTGAACAAACACAACTTCAGGACTATCAGACCATCACAAATATCAATCAGAACATGGGTAATATCATTCCGGAAAAACCAGAGATGCCGTTCTTGAGCTGAGTCCATCGAAAACGATAAAGGGCTGAGAACCCTTTCCTAAGCCTCACAGTTGCTTGCAAGAAACGCCAACAAGAAACGCACATTCGGAGCTAGTGAAATTTGCACACATTTTCACGCATGAGACAAAGAAAGCGGTATTTGAACAGATATTTGTACTAACCGAAAAAAAGATGAACTAAAACCACTCGGCTCTTACAGGATTGTCGAATCAATTGCAACTGCTAAGTACATTCTCGAATACCTCCGCAATCCGCATGCATGGCACTTACAGGTAGCATCCTCGCACTTAGTACGGAAAACTGGCCAATCATCTCTCTCAAACTACCGACACGAATTCAATTCACAGTCACGTAGCCTGTCTTGCTGAGCAGGGCTGCTCCCTGTGCGCCTCTCGCTGTCCCCAGGAACGCGAGGCGCCCCGGCCTCGACCACCGCCGCCCTAAGATCATTGAACTCCTATGCAGACGCTGCTGGGGCCGGTTTGGCCGCCTTCGCCGCCGTCTTCTGCTCGCCGGCCGCGACTGCAGAGTCTCCAGCGCCGACCAGAGGGGACTGCGCGGCCGCTGCCGCGGCAGCCGCCGCCTCCTCGCTGCCCCCAGAGCTGCCCTCAGAGGCCGCCCCGCTGGCCGGCGTGTCACGCGCCCCCTCCGTGACCGGGGTCATACAGCCGGTCACGGCCTGGCTCAGCTCTGCCAGCTCCTCGTCGGATGAAGTGTCACCAGTGCTCTCCCGACGGTAGCGCGATGTCAGCCGGCGACCCTTGGCCAGGTAGCTGGTCAGCTTGCCGCAGGCGGCTAGCACGAGACCCAGGTAGGGTGGCGAGGGTCGCGTTGGTCGGGTCAGGTACTCCGGGTGGAACTGAACGCCAATGAAGTACGGATGGTCTGGCAGCTCGACTATCTCCATTCGCGTCGCCTCTTTGTCCTCGGCCTGGCCCACGAAGTGTAGCCCGGCCTTTTCGAGGCGCTCCACGTAGACCGGGTTCACCTCGTAGCGGTGCCGGTGACGCTCATCCACGCGTGCAGTGCCGTACAGCTGCTGCAGCAAGGACGGCTTGCCGTCCTTGAACTCGGTAGCACGCCGGCCCAGCCGCATCGTGCCGCCCATCTGGCCCGTGTTGTGCTCTGGCATGTCGATGATGAGAGGCTCGGAGGTGTCCTGGACGAACTCTGTCGAAGTGGCGTCCTTCAGACCGACCACGTTACGCGCGTACTCGATCACAGCCACCTGCATGCCGAGACAAACACCCAGGAAGGGTTTGTTGTTGACGCGCGCCCAGTGAATGGCAGCCAGCTTGCCCTCGACGCCGCGGTGGCCGAAGCCGCCGGGCACAAGGAGGCCGTCGGCGCGGCACAGGTGACGCCACGCCTCGTGGTAGCGCACCGGGTCGTCCGTCTTGCAGGCATCCTGGAGATGCTCCGACTCGACACACTGCAGGTCCAGCCGGCGGCCGGCGGCCAGCGCCGCGTGCTGCAGCGCTTTGATCACGCTGGCGTACGAGTCTTGCAGCGACGTGTACTTGCCGACCAGCGCAATGGTGACGGTGCGTCTGAGGTGGGCGGCGCGCTCGGCCAGGTCACGCCAGCGCGCCATGCAGCGACGCGGCTTCATTCCTGTGGGCAGGCGGAGGTGGAGGCACTCCTGCAGAGCGTGCAGAACGCGCTCCTCGGCTAGCATCACCGGCACCCGGTACAGCGTGTCCACGTCGTGCAGACAGATCACCTGGTGCGGCGCCACGTGACAGAAGTTGGACAGCTTGCGCTTCACCTCCGGCCCGATGGGTTTCTCGCTGCGGCAGACGATGATATCGGCGTACAGGCCGAGACCGCGCAGCTCGCGCACTGACGCCTGCGTCGGCTTAGTCTTCTGCTCTCCAGTACTGGACGGCTGTGGCACCAGCGACACATGCACACAGCAGAAGTTGCCGCGGCCCACTCGGAACTGAAACTGACGGAACGCCTCCACAAACGGCATGCCCTCGATATCTCCGATGGTACCGCCCAGCTCGATGATACAAATCTCCGGCTCGAGACCGTCCACAGTGACCGGTTTCCTGGCCACGCACTCCACCCAGTCCATAATGGCGTCGGTGATGTGGGGAACCACCTGCACCGTTTTGCCCAGGTAGCGGCCCTCTCGCTCGTGGTTGATCACCTGCTGGTACACCTTGCCGGTGGTGATGTTATTGTCGCGGTGCAGCGTCACGTCCAAGAAGCGCTCGTAGTTGCCCAGATCCAGGTCCACCTCGCCGCCATCGTCCAGAACGAACACCTCGCCGTGCTCGTAGGGAGAGAACGTGCCGGCGTCGATGTTGATGTACGGATCGATCTTGATGGACGTGACGCGGAAGCCGACGGTCTTCATGATGGCGCCGATGGAGCTGGCGATGACGCCCTTGCCGATGCCACTGATGACGCCGCCCGTGACGAGGATGTACTTCATCGTGACGGCCGAGTGAGAGTCGTCCGCCGATTAAACGCCGTGAGAGGGGACCTGGAAAGGAGAATGAAGGGCTGCGAATTTATCTAAAACAAAATTACCCGATGCCTAACGGTTGGCCAGGCAGGATAACACCGATAGTAGACCGCACGGACCACAAATAGAGCAGTTGGAGCACGGCCCTAGCGTATGCCTACAGTTTCTACAATTGGACCACACTTTGCCCAACTATCTGGCGTTGCAGCGCTCAGCAATCGCCAGTGGATGACTGCCGATATAGGTACGCACCGAAATGCACATCAATTAGTTCACATATCTTTAATTGAGTAATATGAGACACATGCGATGAGACCATTTCAGCCATTATTCCACCTATCGCAGGCGCGCTCATCTGAGCTCGGCTCAAATTACCGGCAGCATCAAATAACTTCGCACGGCCGAGCGCTGAGCCGGAATCTTGCCAGTTGCCACTGACTCGCATTCGGAACCGAAAGGTCAAATTCCAAGCCACTCGCCAGTGAGCTAATATGCCATTATACAGCATACGGTTCTGAGGCGGCATACCGTAGGAATGCACACATCAGATTGTGTATTAACTCAGGCAACCTGAATCGCTCTATTTCTGGAAAGCTATCAAAGTGAGTGTATGAAATGTTTCTGCTATGCTCGGAATCTCAAGACTGGGAGATGTGGGCAGGTCGGACTGCGGAGCCGTTTATATACGCATCTTAGATCAGGGCGCCAGGGCACAGCAACAGGGGCGTGCGGCGCAGTTGGCACACTGCCCTGGCTAGGTCGGGACAACAATGGGACCCGTCACTGGTCTCTAAGCGATTCTCTTCGTGTTTACCACCGCACAGTAAATAAGGTATACGCACAGTAAACAAGGTGAACACATGGTGTGATCGAATAACAATGTAGAGACACCAGACAGCAATCCCGAGCCCTTTTCATACATTATTCTACGCCAAAACATTTTTTAGTTCTGACATTACAGCAAAATAAAACACATTTGTCACAGCCTCACTGGTTAAATGCTGTCAAGATACGAGTGCTGCTGAGTGCTGACACAGACATCAAGACACAGAACAGGATCAAGTTTATCATGATCTCGTCAGCGCGGGATAGATCGGTCGTGTCGTGACTCGTGATCAGGGTTGCGGAGCCGCAGCCGCAGCCGTGAAACAAATAGCCCGGAGCCGGAGCCGTCAAAGAAGGAGGCGACTCCGGCTCTTTTTTTTTTGAAAGAGAAAAAAAATGTTAATTAACCTACAGGGTGTCTCAAAAGCTCGTTGACAGGTACCAGCCATGCTTTTTCGTCAATAATTCCGAATCAACAAGAAATTCAATGTCGAAATTTTGCATGGGCATTGCTTAAGACCGTCCTTAAGCGGTGTCATTGTTTTCAAATGCATTCGACCCTTCATGAGCTTACAAAAAGGGTTCATCTCTAACCATGGGTCAGGCATGAAAATGGAGGTTGCAAAACCGGGTAGGCTGAGAAACTCTCTGCTTCAGGAGTAATGGGAATGGTTAAGTCAGAGCTGACACATGGCAAACTGTCGGCCAGGATGGGTACAACATGATGATCATTTAAAAAATGGTGGCAAAAATTTTTGAAGGGCGAAACCATCCGAGACTTACAGCGTTTTGATCGACCCCCGTACGTCAGCTAGGCTCGTGTGCCAAAAAGCAGCTGAAAATGCGGTCATAACTTTTGAGAACTGGCAAGAAGCTCACAAGTAAAGGCTACCCAGTTCAAAAATAGCAGGTCATCGCAAAATAAAGACAAAGCATCGTTTAAAATTCTTCATAATATCTGAAGTGCCAAAATTTTTGGGAAAATAACACGGAAATCGTTAATGTCAAGGACACTTGGCCCCAAAAAAGGTAAATAAATGTAAAGTTTGATCCTAAGAAGTTTCACGTCGAGGCAGATCTGAAGCGAATAGCTTTCTTTCTTTCAAACACGAAAACCCGACAAAACCACATGATAGACAGGCTTGGGCCGTTTACAAAGCAAAAGCTGATTACTCCGAGCCGGAGCCGGAGCCGCCGTGACATTTCACCCGGAGCCGGAGCCGATTTTTTCTCCGGAGCCGAAGCCGTCTGAAATTTCCACGGCTCCGCATCCCAGCTCGTGAGCCCCGACTGCAACGGCTGGAATTGTGTTGACGAGTCGCACCAGCTAGGCTGCTAGGGTAACAAATCTGCACCAGCCCAACCAACTATAACCAACTATGATAATAAGCACAAGTCCGCACAGAACAAGAACAGAAGTTGCTACTAAAAATATAGGTATTTGCACTTTGATGTGAAAACTGCAAAGTCAGGACAATTATTCCCTGGGTCATGACGGCTGGCCGACTCCACTGTATCTTCTCATTCATGCTTTTTTTAGAGCGGTGATGTGCCTACAAAGCAGCTCACCACAATGTCATCTTGGGACCTGGACCACTCTAACTCACCTGCTCAACTTGCTCTGTTTCAGTTCCCTTGGCATCAGAGTTGGTAGCAAATTGAAATAGATAGAGGAAACAAACAAACAAACAAACAAGCAAGCAAACGACAAGAGAAGGGACCCGCTTAGAAAAAGCTAGCAGAAATCGTCAGACATTCACGGACATTCAGGACACAGGATGAGAACTGACCTCCAAACAGGGAGATGAGCCCACAAGTGCCAAATGAGTGAAAAAAGTGCCAAAATGAGACGTCACTAACTGACGCAAACATCAGGATTATCATAATTAACTTGACTAGCTCCGTGCAAAAGCTGCGCCAAAGTCATATCACGGTGAAGGTCAAGGTCAAGGTAACTGCGGTCTCGGACTTGACCTCAATCGGCAGCGGTATCCCGCAGGGGACAGTTTTGGGACCAGTGCTCTTCATCGCTTTCGTCAACGACCTACCTGGCTGCATAGAGAGCGCATGCACGGTCTTCGTTGATGATACGAAGGTGTACGTCGGAGCTGGCACCGAGATAGGCCGCAGGAAGCTCCAACAGGATTTGGACGCAATGGCGACCTGGTCTCGCAAGTGGAAGCTGCCATTCAACCCATCCAAGTGCACAGTGCTTCATCTGGGCAGCCAAAACGTGTGGGCGCCGGGCGGAGTACACAATCGAGGGTGCTGCGTTCGAGACAGCTGACATGGAAAGGGACCTGGGAGTCCACTGTCCAGATGGGCAAACTGCTTAAATTCAGGGAGCAGACAACAACCGTCATTGGCAAGGCCAACAGAATCCTCAGCCTGATCAAGCACAGCTTCAACCACATCAACTCCAGGACTTCTTCTGCTGTACAAGACGATGGTTCGCCCACCTAGAGTACTGCAACCAAGTCTGAGGGCCGTTCAACGCGGCCGTCGTGAGGTGAAGTGGGTTCAGCGATGGGCTACAGTCTACACCCCTTGTCCCTGAACTTTGGCACCTGCCCTACGAGAAACGGCTGAAGAGTCTGAAACTTCACTCCCTCCAGTACCACCGTCAAAATGGAGACATGATAACCATGTTCAACATCATGCATGGATGCTCCGGCCTGGACAAGGACGACTTCTTCTCGCTGGCCCCAAGTACACGCACCCGCAGCCACCGACTGAGGGTAGCCAAGAAGTCAGTGGTCAGCCGCGTCCGGCGCAACCACTTCACCACCGGGTTGTGTCGGACTGGAACGCCCTATGGCCTATTGGAATGCTTACCGAAGAAAGATAAGAGAAAATACAGTCTGCTCGTTTCTGCTCGTTCAGTCTGCTCGTGCAGTTTCTTAACCTTGCTAATGCAAATGTAGAGTTCCAGCCAGCAGCCTCAAGCCTGTTAGCTATAAATTGAAATGCTAGATGCCAAAGCAAAAGATGCTTACCTCCAGAGGCGAGATAGCTCAAGCTGGAAAACGTTAGCCACTTAGCTTAGGACAGAAACACGTGACAGGCTCACAGGATAGTACAACTCTTGCCAACTGATTACACTCAAATGCTGGGAATGCTGCCAGCGGCATGATGTTGATGTCAGACACCGAAAGATCATTTTGGTTCTACTCCTGCTCAGCTGGCATTGCTGGTAGCCACTATCACCGTAGTTGCCATAACAACTTGCATTTTCTTGAAAGACGTTTGTGTTTTTTTGTATGTTTTGGGCTAAAAAGCATGATAAGTTCCAGGTGAGAAATTTCAAAGCAAAACTTAAGCTAAATTAACGTCGATCTAGGCAGAAACTCAAAAAACATTAACCCATTTCAGGTGCATTTTCATCGTACGCCAAAAGTGAACAGGAGCGCTGTTCGGCAGCCGGCTATTTTGTGTGCAGGGTATGACGTATTTCGCGAGCCGACGTCACAGGCGGTGACGTCGGCTCGCGCGCGAGCCGAGCGCCAACGACAAACTAACGGGAACCCTCGGACACCCTCGGGGCATAAACCGCGGAGTAGCATATTGAGCGAGTCTTATAAGGAAAATTCATATATTTTCGTTTCTCAAATGATAATCAGGGTGTCTCTTACCTTGTTACATATCATTTAGGCTTACCTAACACTTCAGTTGCCAAATATCTGCAATTTATTCAAGCGAAGGTATTTTCAGTAATTATCAATGGTATAGACCGAAATCTTTTGAATAAAAACTCCAACCAACAGAAATAAAAATAACTTAATTTATTCCAACCATTTCCTCCAAATAAACAACATAAAAACTCACTTTTACACACATCATTCATAATAAAGCATACTAACACGCCGCTTTCGACAATTGCGGCGTCGAGTGGCGCGCTGCTAGCGCTCTTTTTCGATCGCAGAGACCCTGGGCCCTGTTTCACCGGTGATAGCAGCATGCTGCTATCACACGTGTCAAATTGGGTTTCCATGGAAACATCAACAAGCCATGACGCCATCAATCTGTGTGATGTCATCAAATATTGCTTGCAGCACCTTCACGGCCGTGCGATCAAGCAAATGTATCAAACGCAATTCAACGAGACAGAAACTCTGTTCCAAACGCAGCTCACGGATTACACGAAACGTCATTAGTGTGACCTCATCACATTACGTCAGCTCGCGCAATTTGATAGTAACGTGCTGCTATCACCGGTGAAACAGGGCCCTGCACGCGCGCGAGCACACTACGTCACGTCCGGGGGGCACAGGTACATGAAAAATCGCAGTGACGTAACACTTTTCTCGCTTCTCATTGGTCAATAGCCCGTTGCCGGGGTAACGTGCACGTATGTGAGCGCGGGCAAGAGTACTAGCCGGCCGCCGATCAGGGCTAGGGCTGGACGGTCGTCAAGTTGGATGTAAGTGAATCCTAATCTATAATCTAAGATTCTGAATCAGGTGAGCCCCTACGATTTGGACCAAACTTGGTCAGTGGATAGTACGTAACGTCCTGATTACGATACACCCAGAATCTAAGCTTGGCCCGCCATATTTACGAAGTTACGGATGTTTGAATTTCAAGGTCATTCGGGAGAGCCCCTACGATTTCCGTCAAAATTTGTGTACGGACACACTATATGCTCCTCATTACGAATATCACAAAATTTAAGCTCGGCCCGCCATATTTACGAAGTTACAGAGGTTTGAATTTCAAGGTCATTTGGGTGAGCCCCAGCGATTTCCGTTAAAATTGGTATACGGACACATTACATCCTCCTCATTACAAATATCATAGAAGTTAAGCTCGGCCCGCCATATTTTTCAAGTTACGGAGTCACAAAGTTACGGAATTTCAAGGTCATTCGGAGAGCCCCTCCGATTTTCGTCAAAATTTGTATGCGGACACATTACATGCTCCTCATTACGAATATCGTAAAAGCTAAGTTCGGCCCGCACTATTTCAAAAGTTAGAGATGTTTGAATTTCAGTGAGTTTCAAACGTCAGTAACTTTTGAAATAGTGCGGGCCGAGCTTAGCTTTTACGATATACGTAATGAGGAGCATGTAATGTGTCCGCATACAAATTTTGACGAAAATCGGAGGGGCTCTCCGAATGACCTTGAAACTCCGTAACTTTGTGACTCCGTAACTTGAAAAATATGGCGGGCCGAGCTTAACTTTTATGATATTTGTAATGAGGAGGACGTAATATGTCCGTATACCAATTTTGACGGAAATCGCAGGGGCTCACCCAAATGACCTTGAAATTCAAACCTCCGTAACTTCGTAAATATGGCGGGCCGAGCTTAAATTTTGTGATATTCGTAATGAGGAGCATCTAGAGTGTCCGTACACAAATTTTGACGGAAATCGTAGGGGCTCTCCCGAATGACCTTGAAATTCAAACATCCGTAACTTCGTAAATATGGCGGGCCGAGCTTAGATTTTGGGTGCATCGTAATCAGGACGTTACGTACTATCCACTGACCAAGTTTGGTCCAAATCGTAGGGGCTCACCTGATTCCGAATCTTAGATTATAGATTAGGATTCACTTACATCTAACTTGACGACCGTTAGGGCTGGCGCGTTTTTATAAGTCACAGGAGCGCCAGTTATGTCATGCTACCATAAAAGTTGGCAGCACCGCGGTTGCGGCATTCACTTCAAATAGTGCGCCATTCGTGATACTATAGATAAAAATAACTCAAACTAGAAAAAAACAAAAAGGCGAGAAAAAGAAGCTTAGGACGTATACCAATAGCATTTTTCTCCGCTTAGATCGATAGCCAGAATTTTCAAGGCAAGCAAGTTCCCCTAGACTGAGATTGTATTTTGTTGGTAGACCCAAGGCCCTAAAACATAGACCGGGTAGACCGCATTTTGATTGTTCAGAGTCAGGGTATATTGAGCAGAGTTGCTCTTGTCCTTGTGAGTCAATCGTTCAAACATCCATGAATTGGAATTGCTTAAAGTAGATTTGGCGCATTGTGGACTGTGGCTCAATTTTTAAATAATGGTCTTTTTTGTCGTCCTGGCACAGGCAGGTAGGTAGGTAGGTATTGCCTGGTATCCACTGTCCTATTACCTACCAATCTATCTCGTCTAATGATCTGTTTTATCACTGAATTAGAGACTGAAGTGTGAAGCATGCTAACAGAGCTGATAATCTGTACAGGCCGCACTATCGGGCAACTAAGCACAGCAGCTCATGACAGTATAGTACTAACCTAATGCTCTTCATGAAATCTACATTGCGCAGCTCTGCACAAGTGCACGCCAGCTCTGCCGCGCAAAGGCAAAACAATGTTTAGCCGGTGGCAGCTCTGCGCAAGTGCACGCCAGCTCTGCCGCGCAAAGGCAAAACAATGTTTAGCCCGTGACTTCTGGCCTGATGTAATGACCCCCTGGGCCCTGACTTAACGTAATCATTTTTCCTTTGCACTGCAGAGTTGTGAGCTGACAAAAACTTGTCAATGTTGCTACTTGCTATATTTTGCAATCTGGACCAAATCTGGATCCAGAATTACACTTAGGCCTACCTACCTCTACCTCCTTTTTCACAGTTCTCTGTTCCAGGTGAACTCAACCATGAGCACCTTCTGAATTGATTCAAGCACCTGAGTTTTAGTGCAGTCTTTCTTCCAATTGAGCTGCTGAGGTGAGCTTAGGTGCTGTTGAAAATACATTGAATATTAAGCAATGACTCTTGTTATACTGAACTCAGAACTGAACCTTTGAATGATATTCCCTTATTGCCATATACTGAAATGTAATTGACATAAGCCTTTGTTTGTGATTGCTACAGTGTTTCCAAACTGATCAACTGCTCTCAGATTTGTATTCTGCTTGTATTCAGTTCCTCCACTAACAGTCTCTTCTCCATACAGGTTCCACCATGCTGAACAGCATCAAGAGCGTGTTTGCCGCCTGCCAGGCGAGCATTTCGGTCCACCAGAAGCTACTGTCTGCCCTGAAGACCATCTATGACGGAGCAGAGTCGGAGGAGGCGTTCTTCGCCGAGTTCGTGTCGCTGCTGCGCCGCTCACTGATGCGCTCCGAGAAAAGTCCTCCCGTGGAGCGAACGATAGAGTTCGCCGCCCGGTTCGCCAAACATCTCTCGCCAGGTTTGATAAACATTGATGCACAATTAAAGATCCTGCTACCAGTCTAGAATCGTGCTATTTAAATGGTGCGTTTAGCTAGTGGCGAGAGATGAGGGCACTGACGAGGACGAGGTCCGTCCTACGTTAGACTTTGCTTGTTTTAATTCAAGTCAGATCCCGTTTTACCGATATAGTCTCATATTGTCGACTTATTAGCGCTCGCAATGTGTCTGAACATCGCGGCACCCATTGCAATTAGATTTTAGCGATCACTGAAGCAAACTATGCTTATCTCCTTCCTGACCATCCCGTTTCCCTATTATCTTTTGGCGTGCTCTGTTTCAAAACTCTGTGACAAAACGTCATTTCGTCTTCAAACCCGGCGGTTTTTGACCTGCACCACGTCCGTCGCCAGTGTCGGACGAGACACTGGCAGAGGATGAGGAAGCCGAAGAGGTGCATCCGTTCTTCCGTCGGCTGTTTGAGTTCCTGGTGAACAACCACCGCGCGGCCGACTCATCGGTCCGACTGCGCTGCTGCCAGCTCATCAACAAACTGCTGCTGCACCTTGGCGAGAACGCTTACCTGGACGACGCGCTGTGCGACCGCGCCTATGACGCCATGCTGGAGCGGCTGCAGGACACGGTGCCGGCCGTGCGCGTCCAGGCCGTGTTCGCTCTGAGTCGCCTGCAGGAGCCGCAGAACAAGCAGTGTCCCGTCATCCGCGCCTACGTGTTCCACCTCCGGAATGACCCGAGCGCCGACGTGCGGCGGGCGGTGCTGCTGAACATCGGCGGCTCGGCGGCCACCCTGCCGCACGTGCTGGAGCGGGTGCGAGACTCGAGTGCCGGCGTCCGACGACAAGCCTACACCTTCCTTACCAAGGTAGGACGCCAGACGGGACGAGTGGAGCGTAATTTAATGATTATTTTGGCCTTGCAGAGTTGAATTCGCTTGCTTTAAGTCGCTTTTATTCTGATTATATTGATGCATACCGCCTGTTGTATGCTGTGATTGTAGCTGTCGCGGCCAGTGGTAGCGCCCTACACACAGTTTTTCTTGGTCTCAGGCTGCTAACCGCCGTCCTGACCCTCCCCCCCCCCCCCCCCCCAGGTGCACATCAAGTCTGTCTCAATGTCCGAGCGGCGCCGCGTGCTAAAGGAGGGTCTGCAGGATCGCGACGAGACGGTGCGCCGGACCGTGCAGAAGGACCTGCTACAGTTCTGGCTGCGCCTCCTCAGCGGCAGTGCCACTCAGCTGCTGCGCTGTCTCTATGTCGAAATGTGCCCAGATGTCGCTGAGATGGTCGTCAAGGCCATGTGCCGGGAGACCTCCTATAGAGACATGGTAGGTCGGTGAGATTGGTGCCGAAGGTCGGTCGATGGCGTGGAAGGGCGGTTGAATGTTTGGCAATTCGCTCAAACGCTGCTTGAAGCGAGTTTGTGTGTCGTTTGAACTGAATGTTGATATAATTGTGTATGTTCAGTTTGTGAGAAAATTTCGCGAGGGTTTTATTGGTCTAGTTGTTGTAGCCTTGTATGTCACGGCATTCATTCTGTATCGGTTGCCTTACGCTTCCATTATTTTAAATGCCTATTAAGTTGGTGTCTCGTCCCGTACTTGATTTGTGAGGCCGTGATGCCCCGCCTCGCCCTGACATCCCTCCCTCCCCGCCGTATCGTCAGGTGGACAGTTTGGGTCTGCCGAGCGAGACGCGCCTGTTCGCGCCGGAGGAGCTCACCCCGGAGCGCGCCATCCTGTGGCGTGTGCTGTGCGACCACCTGCGAGCGGAGGGCGGCGGCGCGGACTCGCAGCTGGAGCGGATCGCTCCCGACGTCCCGGCGCTGTGCGGGCTCATCCAGCAGCTGAGCGCCGCGGCGCCGGCCGACGGCGAGTCGCCCGAGAGCCAGTGGTTCGTGCTGCGGCAGCTGATCCAGCTGGCCGCCGGCCTGGAGCTGTGGGACGAGTTCGCGCGCCGCTCGCTGGCCGGTCTGGTGGACGGCCTGCTGCGCTCGGAGCGTCTGGCGCCGCAGCTGGTGCCGCCCCTAGTGCGGCTGTACGGCCACGCCGTCCCGGACGCCGCCGCCCGACTGCGCGCGCTCGTGGAGGCCATCACGGACATCCGCGCGCCGCTGACAGGCACCGCTCCGGAGCCGGAGCAGCCGGCCGCGCCGGCGCCGGCCGAGCAGCGCGAGCGGCGGCTACGGCGGGCCCAGCTAAGGGTGCGCCTCAACGAGCTCCGCGACCAGCTGGAGGAGGCAGTGGCCGGCAGAGACTACGCCGCCGCCCAGGAGCTGCAGCGTGAACAGGACGCCTGTCTGCAGGAGGAGAAGGAGCTTCAGGACCGCGAGGAGCCGGCCCCGCCCGCCGAGACCGAGCAGGCAGAGTCGGAGGGCTGTCTGGAGCGGGACGATCCCGTCACCCTGGCCAAGTGTCTGCAGATCGTGTTTGAGTTGCTGCAGGCGCTGCCACTGAAGAAGTTACCGGCCGAGCTGAGAGCGCTGACTGAGACGCTCGTGCTGCCGGCGGTACAGAGTGAGGAGCCTGGAGTGAGAGAGGTGGCCGTGCGCGCGCTGGGAGCCGTCTGTCTACTGGACAAACAGCTGGCCGAACAGAACCTCGTCCTCTTCGTGCAGGTCAGTTGTGGGCTCCGGTGGCCGTAGGAGGAGCACATGGGTATTTAGCTGTTACTGAGGGGTGTGATAAAGTATGTCTGACTGGAATGTTGTTATCTTCAAATAAGGGCAAGCCTATTATGTGTAATGCGGTCTACATTACAGACTACATTTTTTCTTGTGTCTTCTAAAGGAACGTCAAAAGCCGTACTCGCTAGCTATGGCCTGACTGACTCAACACAATTTTACTTTCTTCATTATGACTGTTTTCCCCACATTTGCCGATCTTTTATGCTTTTAATCTGTTCCTCTGCAGTCTGCACCACTCCGCCGTTTCTGACTCGTCTCCCTAACCGACAGGTGGCGCACGCCGACCAGTGTGAGGTCCAGCAGAGCGCGCTGCGAGCTGTGTTTGACCAGCTCTCCGTGCACGGACTGGAGGTGGCAGCGCCGCCAGAGGAACCCGAACAGATGGCACCGCTCATCACCGCGCTCACCGGCATGCTCGACGCCGGAGAGCCGGAGGTAGGCGTATGTATGATCGTCTTTATGAAGCCTGGGAGCGGGTTATTGGCTGTGTTCGTTCGCACTTTGGTTTTGCTCAATTTGCTGGATCTGTGCGCAATTAGGTGTGTCTTTCCTTGTCCCACGAGAGCAGGACAGGGCAAGAGCAGGGCAGCACTCTGCGGTTTGGAAACATTGAGTCTGCGTTAGTCACTGATCTTTTCCGAGGTCCTGAGGGTCTGGTTTAGTGTATGAACTGTCCCTGCTCCCACCGGTCTGTGGTCTGGTGACCGAGGGATCGGGAGGGACCCCTGAGTGCTAACCCGTCCTGGGGGCGGATCTGTTTTAGTTACTGATCATTCAACGCCGCACGGGTCCGCAGTCTAGACACAGGACCTCTCTAAGCTGCTGACCTGCCCCGAGGGTTCTGTACAGGTCACTGACCCGCCCGTCCCGCAGGTCCGCGGCCTGGTCGCCGAGGGCCTCTGTAAGCTACTGATACACGGCCGCGTCACGTCGGCGCGCCTGCTGGAGAGGCTGGTGCTGATGTGGTACAACCCGCTGATGGACGGAGACGGCTTCCTGCGTAACATGCTGGGCGTGTTCTTCCCGGCGTTTGGCTCGTCGGGCCGCGCCGGACAGGAGCAGCTGGCGGAGGCCATGCTGCCCACCATCACCACAGTCATTGAGGTGAGACAGCACCAGTGGTGAATGGGTATCCCCCAGGAGGAATCACCAGGAGCGAGTTCGATATACTTGCAATATAGATTATATGATGCGGGGAGAGGGATGTGGGCCGTGGGGGGAAGTAACATAGCGAAGGGAAGAAGCGTTTTTGCATTGTCAGGTTTACCGGTCATATAATCGATTCAGGCTGACGCATGCCACGAGGTTGGATGACGGGTTGCATGTCTTAAACCTACCCCCCCCCCCCCCAAGAAGGTCAAAGTTGCTTGGTTTGTGCTGAATCTAAAGAAAATAGTGTCTGCTGGAATACAGTGAATTTATAAAGGTCACCCATATCAAGATGGTGTTTGGAATGTACCTTCGTCGTGATAGGGTAGCATGCCTCCGCCAGTTTTAATTTTGCAAACGATAATGCCATGGCATTGCATGCCAATCTGTTACAGGAGGCCAAAATACCGAGCATTTTTAAATTATGAATGCTCATGTTCGGTGAAGCATGCAGTGTTTGTGTGGGCACTACAGACACTACCCGAATGTATGTCCGTGAACTTAGTGACGCATAGGGGAGAGTGGGGCACATTCGTGCATGGGGCACATTCGTTTTTTGCAGTTTATGGGAAGACGAGTGACTGCTCGAGCTAAAGGTAAATTATGAAAATATGTCTATCATTGCCGCCCTTCGCTCACTGTAGAAGACAACACTGTACCTGCTGTCATGCTTGATAAAAACGCAAATTTGTAATATTCGTGCGCTTTCCAAACTTTTCTCATTTCATCCATTTTCGTGATCCTGACTCGGAAATGTGCTTTAACTTTTCAAAATTGGGGGCGAAAAAGCTCACTTTATTCACGGAACTGCTGCAAACTTGTTTGTTGAAAAACTGTCATTTTTTCAATAGGAAATTTTGAAATATATTACAAATAACGTTGTGGGGCAGGTTCGTGTACGCACTGCCTCGGGGCAAATTCCTCCATATTTTTTTGTTCGTTTTTGCGATTTATGACTATCTGTAGTAGTGACGCTCGCCTGACTCAGTCTCGGCTGCTTGCGACGTCGTGACAAGTAATTCACGTGACCTTGGAGAGGTCACGGAGGCGGGTGGATGGCCGACAGTTGGCACATTCTTGTTGGCCAGCCCATTCTTTCTACATATGTTGTGCAATGCATTCTTGTCGAAAGGAATCAAGTAAAAGGACCCCCTACCAATTTCTTTTGGTAAATTTCTGGCAATGCCCGGTAATTCCTCGAACTTTGCAGGGTGCACGAAAGTGCCCCACCCCTTGCACGAATGTGCCCCATACCTGGGGCAGTTTCGTGCAAAAGTTCAGAGTTATTAAAAGTCATTTTTTCTAATAGAAGCGATAACTTTAGAGGACAACTTTTAAGAGGAAAAATATCTGCAATAGTTCCTTTTCATACTACAATCAACAATTTTGCCATTGCACTAACCGACGAACAGATATATGGATTTATCCATTTTTTGCACGAATGTGCCCCACTCTCCCCTACGTATACGTATTCAGCGACGAATTCAAATTTACTCAGAATTTCCAGGTAAGGTAAAACCGACTATTATAGTCGACTATCGCATAGTCGATTTTACCTTACCGACAGTGACAGTGGGCTGCCGAAGTTCACGGACATACCCGATATCCGATTCTTGCGACGTTCAGTGAGCTGGCGACTTTGTCACCGTGACCGTCACCTGGGCCGCCCGACTCACCGATCCCCTCCTGTGTGCCCGGCAGGCTCCGATGACCTCCCCCCTGGTGGAAGTGGACCCGGACGACGTGGCCTGCTTCTTCGTCCAGCTCACTCAGCCGGCCATGCTGTCTGCGCGTGAGGCGGCTCTGGAGGGCTCTGTGCACGAAACACTCGCCTACCGCCTGCTCAACGCGCTCATTGACGGCACCAGTAGCTGTGGCACAGACCGAGTGCTGGCGCGCGCACTGCCGCAGCTCGACCTGAGCGGCTCGGCCGATGCGGTGCTGCGCGAGCTGCGCCGCCTGGCCGGCCGCGCGCTCGGCGAGGATGATGATGAGACTGATAAACAGACGGCGAGGCACCTGAGGAGGTTCACCGCGGGGCTGACGACCTTACTGGCGTCCCGACCGACTACTGATTCCACGCCGACGGTCACCCCGGCGCCGCGGCGGTCCCGGCCCGCCGGCGCCGCCGCTGATGTGGAACTGGAGACTGGCCTGGACAGCAGTCAGGGATCGCCCACCCGCCCGGCGGCGGCGAGCGCCGTGCCGGAGACACCGGAGCAGGCGGCGCCGGACGACCCGACCGGCGGCGAGGAGCTGTTCCTGGCAGCCTCGGCTGACTCTGAGGAGTACTCAACGTGTCTGCAGGAGACGGCTGACCAGTCGGCGCTGAGTGCCGGCGGCCGGCTCGCCACGGCGCCGGCGGAGAAGCGACCGGCCGAGACGCCGCCGCCGCGCCGGCCCGGCGGCCGCCTCTCGCGGCGTGCTCCGGCGGCGCCGAAGCGGGCACCGGCGGCCACCGCCTCGCCGGCGACAGTTCCAGCCAAACGGAGCAGAAAGGCGGCGTCGGCGAGCACTGCGGAGAGCGCGGCGCCGACCCGCCGCGCGTCTAACGTACGCCGTGCCCCGCCGCCGGCCGTCCGTACCGAGGAGGACAGCCCCGAGCCGACTATCGAGGACAGTGACTCCGGCTCGGCGGTCAGCGCGACGGTGGTGACCGGACAGAGGGCCGGCGGCAGATCCTCCGCGCGTCTGAAGCCGTCCTCTGACGAGCTCAGCGCCGGAGAGCGGACGCCAGACAGCGTGCTCTCGGGGCCGGTGACGGGCGCGCGCCGCTCCGCCCGCAGCCGCGTGGAGGAGACCCCGGAGAGCGATATATCGACCGTCTCCCGGAGCACGCGGGCCTCCCGCACTCGTGTTGAGGAGAGCCCCGACCCGAGTCCCTCTGGAGCGGCGCTGCGGACCAAGCGGGGCTCCCGAGCTCGCCCGGCAGCGCCTCAGTCACCTGACAGCTCTGTGTCGTCCGCCGCCGCGCCGCCTGCCCGCTCGGCGCGGAAGGCGGCCACCAAGAACACCTCGCCGGCGCCCGTCAGAAAGACCACTCGCAGAGCCAGCGCACGCAAGTAAATGTGAAGTAAAGTAACAGTGCGCAAGTAAATGGGAATCGTGGGACGACGTAGTGCGTAGTAAGTGCTGACGGTCTGCCGTTGCTATCAGTTTCATCGTTTATTTCAGCTGTCTTCCTATTCGCCAGCTGCTTCGCTAGTGTTTAGTCCAACCGCTTCGCACTAACATGTCTTCTTGCGGCTTTGCTTGTCTGTTAGCTGAGGCGGATTTCAGCGGAGTTCTTCGATTAGCGATAGTGGCGTTTTACACCGGAAATGAAAGGATGATGGCTTGTTTATCCATTCCGTTCTTCCAGGTGTGCTAGTTGAATGAGTTTTCAAAAACATTGGAACGCGTTTGCTGTCTCTTCAATCTTGGTCCTGCTGTGTGTAATGGAAAGGTACAAACCACACAAACTTTCTGAATACATCGATTATAGTTTTAATTTATCTTTTGTCTTACAATGCTTGCCACTGATCATACCCGATCACGGGATGTTCATGGATGAGTTGAAATATTGCATCACGATTCACGAGTAACAATTCTCCGATGACCTATTCGACTGTCCGCAACTCATTCGTCACTTCGCTCACATAGGAAACAAACCAACGATTCAGCCATGTCTGGAATTCTCCGTCACCTTACTACGTTCAGTACACGTCACGTGTTATTTGTGTGATCTGAGTTCTCAGGGAGCTGGTTCTTATCCAGATGATCCGCGCGGACTGACGTGAGGTAATGACGTCAATAGAGCCCTGTCACACGCGCAGGGAAACACCGCACTTCGCTTCAGTCAAAACTATGGTTTCGTCACGGTTATTTTATGCGCGTGCGGTATAAGCCTTCCATCCAAATCGCTTTCGGGCAGGGACGGCGGGTTGTATTGCAATTGTCAATTCAGCTGTATGTAGGTGATCGCAGGTCGGCTATCCACTTCTGCCCTTCCTTTCGTGGTTCAGTAATTTATCATACGAATCGACAGTTAGCGTCATTTGGAAGCTGCAATGGTCATCGAAAATCGATGAGAATTTCTCTTTGGTGAGGTCGCCAGTCGCAAAGATTGACTTGGCATTTGGAAACGAAGGTTCCTTATGATTTTCCCTGTAGAATGAGACATTGGGCTGGTCGTGCCGCCGAAAATGGTCTGCGGGTGAGCGCGTCGTTGCCTGAATATCCCGCTGGCTCTACCTCCTTCATATATTGAATGGAGGTGCGATGGAAGAGGCGGAAGGGAGGAACCTCTCACGGTAGTATGCGGTCTCACGTGTCACGGTTGTGTCCTCGTGTAGACTGTGGAGTGCCTCTAGTCCCGATTTCTGATAATAATGGAGTTACAAATGACCTTGCAGTTGTTTGGATTTCGCGTCACGAAACTCAGTCACATTAGATGCCCTGGCACGACTGCCGCAGTACAAAAGCTGTGAAGAATCATGCAAAATGGCGTGCTTCCTCCTTTCACTTCGGTGACTCGTTTGTGGACATGCTCGTATGTCGAGTACCCATTCTTACGGCTGGAGGTGAAATGTCTCGAATCCTTTTACAGGTGCTCTTCGATGTTCCTCATGCACCGTTATTTTGAGGGATTTTCTAAAAAAGAAAATAACTGCAATGCTTTACGTTTTTGACATGTAGTCTCGCTCATTAAATCGACCAAATTGCAGATGGCTTTTATAACCCTGTAACTTCAGTACGCATATGACACTGTGACTTGCGAATCAAGCGCCACTCCCAGCCGACCCATGACCGGTGTGTTGGCGCCGTGTCAGTGTGTCAGTGTGTGTCACCGCGGTGTGTGCCACTCCGAGTGTCTCTGCCCGTCCGTCCCACAGACGATCTCATTCCCCGGCCGGGAGCGCGCGTGCCCTCCCCTGCCCTTCTTCTTCTTCTTCTCCTGCATCCCGCCGCCAACCCGCTTAGGGGGGCGGCGGCGCAGGCGGGTCGAGCGGCGGCTCGGTCCGCCCGCCGACACCCTCGATGAAGTCGACGACCCTCGCCGCCGGGCCGCCGAGGACGTCGACCAGGCGAGGGTCGACACCCCAGCGGCGGCGGCGGGCCGCCTCATAGGCCGGACAATCGGTCAGCAGGTGCGTCACGCTGTCGGGCTCCCCGCACGCGGGGCATTCGTCGTCGGCTGCCAGGCTAATCTTGTAGAGCGTGTCGCGGGTCAGCGGTGATGTGCCGGTCCTCAGCTGGGACAGCGTCACCGACCCCCAGCGCGCCAGGGAGTCGTGGCCAGGCGTGGGGTCCGGGTGCGGGTGGGCAGCGGTTGCCCTCCGTCGCGACAGCTCCCGGACATGGCGCGTGACGGCGGCCCGCGCACTCGACAGGTCGATCGGTGCGCCCTCCCCTCCCTCCACACACGGTGGCGGGGGTTTGGTGTTTATTGGCAATACAAACAGAACAAACGGAGTCGGCACGGCCGGCGCTGCGGCGGCGGGCGGAACGGCACGCCCGCCCGCCTCCCAGACGGCCAGCGTTTTGTACAAGTACGTATGACACTTAATGCCTGGGGCGGCCGGCGACCGAGCACCGACCACGTGACACGATATGTACAGTGCGGCGCCGGTCACGTGACAGGGGGGACACAGGCCGGCAGCGCTGAGCAGGGCGGGTAAAAATACAGACGGTTCAAGCACTATAGAGACTCGTCGCGGCGCCGGCCATGCCCCATTGCAAACACAAGGTATATTATGCATATCACAACACAAGATACCCCTAGAGGAGTGGCGCCGCCGGCCGGCCGTCCCCGGTACGCCGCGTGCAGGGCGCACCGGCCGCCCGGCCGGCCGGCGGCTCAACTACAGAGAAATAGACAGGCCCCTGTATGTATCAAACGCACTGTGCACAATTATGCTAGTTCATTCGCTGCCGTCGGTAAATTCTTCACAATAACAGACCCAGACTCGACCAGCTGTGCAGCCCTCAGCTGCCACACACTCACCCACCATTCACACCGTCACTGCCAAAGGCAGCCAATAAGATCATGAAAATCATCCAATATAAAAACCCAGTCCGAGAGCGGCGCACAGTAAAGTCGTTTGAAAACAAGCGTGGAAGAATCGCGGCTGCATCCGAACAGTACGCGGCGCGTCCCGCCGGTGTGGCGTGTCGCTGCGCGCGCGCGGGACGCGTCACTGGCTGGCTGGCGCGCCGGCGCGCCACCAGCTGAGATCCTCCTGAGGCCGGGCGGGGGGCGGCGCCGGGCGCGGCTCACCGCCGGTCCTTGTAGAGCAGGTAGTTGTTGACGGTGGCCGGCAGGTTGAGCTCCTTGATGCGCCCGAGCCGCTGCCGTCCGAGCTGCTGCCGGATGGCGCGCCGGCACAGGTCGGCCAGCGGCAGCGGCTCCGGACTCAGGCCGTTGACGTACTTCATGGTGATCTCGCAGTGGCCCCATACGGCCGACACGATCGGGTAGAGCTTCTTGCCCTTGAGGCCGCGGAATGCCACGCCCAGATACTGGCCGTCCACCATGAACGCCAGAGTGCCCTCGTCCATGTCAAGGATGACTGTAGACAAACAGGGGAGGGAGATGGTCAGAGAGGTTGGCTCATACAATGTCACCGGCAGGGGGGACAGTAGCAGATCGGCGAACTACATATCTCACACATCAGTGACCAAAGTGTGCCTACACAGAAACCTACGCAGGTAGGGGGTAAGAACGGTCAGAAAAGCTGGCGATGTCTGTCACCGACAAGGGCAAATCACAGCTCAGAACAGCAAACTACACTGCTCCTTCATCAGCAATGAGACAGGTCCGACCTTGTCCACCTGGACGAACAAACAAATACACTAATGGCTTCAAAAACAAACTACGATCATCCGCTCAGGCAATATACACTGGAAACTGGAAACGTTCCAAGTACTTCTCGATTGGACTCTTGTGACCTTCCTGACAGAAGCCGGGTCATTTATGTAACAGAAGGCCTCTGTCAGCTGCAGGCTCATCACATAATGCGGTCACAGAAATCCCAACTCTCGCTTCAACCATTTAGCTATTTCAGACAGGTAATCGGATTATTTCTGCAGGCGAAGACTTCCGTACTGACCTTTGAACTTGTCGGGCACCATGAACGTGCTGTTGAGGTCGGCGTCGTTGAGGATGCTCGGGTATGTGACGCCCTCGTTGTTCTTGGAGTCGTGGTAGACCTTGTTCCTGCCGAGGTCCCAGCCCCAGCTGGAGTCTGTGGCTCCCACCAGGCTCTGATACCCTGCCGAACCAAACCACACGGTCAGACACCGAGTCACCCGCCTCCGCCGAGCGTCAACCCCGGCCGGAGCGGCGCCAGCAGCCCCCGACCTCGCCCGGTCACGGCCACAATGCAGACGAACCCCTCGCCAACAATGCGGCGATGACGGGCCCGCGCCGGTCGCCAAATCTCTGACGTCACCGGGTGGAGTGGACCGGTGCCAGCGGCGCGGCGGAGCGCGGACTCCCATTGAGGACCGGGCGCAGGACCGGGCGGCCGCCACGTCAGCGTGCTGAGCCGCGGGGAATGTCGCAGCCCTGCCCTGTCCCCTGCCGTAACCCAAGGGGCTGCCAGCGGACGGCTTGGCAGACCACCCGTCCCATGTGATCATCGCTTCCGCCAGGTGGCCTTGCAACTTCATCATAGCACCGGCTCTCTCGCTCCAAATTTGGAATCGCAGAGAAAAATCATATTTCCACGGAATTTCAAGGATAGCTTCGGCTAGTTACGGTAGCTGCATGCTAAGTTACCATTGGAAGACTTCCGTATCGCATATAGATTAAATCATATAGATTTTCAAATAAATCCAGATGTTGCCCCATTATTAGCAACAGTATTAGCAACAGTCAAGTCGTATTTGAATCATGAAACAAATCTGAATGAACCTCAACTTCCAGAACCCAGCTGACAACGTTTACAACTGAGCCTAACTGGGAAAATCCTGACTATCCAATCAAAGCATCCACACAAACAGTTACAGGTGATCCCGGGAACCCCAGACAGACCATTCTCCAAACATAGCTCTGACGATCACACAGTTCCGAAACAAATCGTTACGTAAGACAGCGCACGTTAACTCCCACCCAGAATCTTCTGATTCATCGGCAATGGCTCAACCCGATCGTTTCTTCAACACTGGTATCGTGACGTCTGTACTGTGTGTACAGCGTGGACAATGTGGACAACGTGGATGGTGTGGACGGTATCGAGTATGGACATTGTGGATGATATGGACATTGATTCTCGACGATATGGGCGTTGTGGACAATGTGGACATTGGACGTTGTGGATGCTGTGGACATTATGAAATTGTGGAGCATGTGGACAATATGGACGCTATGAACTCACCTGTGGAGTGGAGCGGCGCGTCGGCGGTGGCCACGCCGACGACAGCGTGTGTGCCGCGCTGGCGACTCGACCAGTGGATCTCCCAGACGTGCAGGCCCCGCTCGAAGCCCACCAGGCCGCGGATACAGTCGGTGCTCTGCGCCACCGGGTGCCGATGGAACGTCATCTTGTCGTCCTCCTGGCGAGACCATAGAGTAGGTTAGTTAGCGTAACCCTAGACAACACATACAAACACACAGATGCGAGCTATCGGGGGCGTACCCTCGGCCAGATGGTATGCCAATTAGGTTGTATAGCTAGTGTGCCCCTAGAAAACACTCACAAACATACAGAGGTGAGCTCTCAGGGGGCGTACCAACGGTCAGATAGGATGACAACATGAACAAACAGGGTCGGGTCGCACAGTACGATTCTATGGACTATGACGTTAGGTGATGCACCGAGCCGACACCGAGGCCGTCAGAGGGGAGGAACCCAAACACAGTTTCAGATGTCCGAGAGGGACGGTGTCCTCACGTCACATCATACACATCACACACAACAGTACAACGGTCAGCGATCTTCGACCGAACCAAGTCAGCCTTCCTGGAACTATCCAGTGACCTGGTGCCCAGCTGACGACGCAGATCAAAACATCTGACTGACAAGCAGCCGACTACCCTTTGTCCTTGTCAGATTCACAACATCCGCGGCTCCTGGACAGATCATCTCTCTGAGAACTCTGATCGGACCGGACCTGAGCGCTCCTAGAACTCTGACCGGACCCGATCGCTTCCAAACTCTGCCCAGACTGAATCGCTCCCATAAGCTGAATCGCTCCGAGCACTCTGCCCGATCCGATCGCTCTCAGACCTCTGCCCCGAACACATGATGGTGACGTCACCGACGGACCTCATCGATCCATCGCTCTGCCGTCGGCGCCGGCTCTCAACGTGACGCAACGTTCCCGGCGCGGCGTGCTGCGGCGCGGCGCGGCCATTGCAGCGCGCCGGTGACCGGCCCAAGGTCAGACGGACGGGAACCGCGGCGAAACAGGCGGAAAGACGGCCGCTCGGCGGCTGTGGATCCACACCAGACCACCGCGCCGGCTGCCCGGCCCGGTGGTTCGGTTTGACAACGAACAGAGCCGGTCACTGCCGACAACGGACGGTGAACTTAAAACGGCGCCGAAATAACCAGCGACACTCCTTCCCACGTGTAGCACAGCTGCCGTGAACGGGCCTCACATTCAGCCTAGTCAGGGGAGAAGTCTGTTTCATCTCCAATAACCCCTGAGCGTCTCCGGCCTAACACCCCCATCAGCATTCCAGCGGGGAGTCACTGGATCCCACTTCCGATCCCGTCGAGTTCACGGAACCCCGAGTCGCACCGCCGGCGCCGCCACAGCGGGTCGTCTTTGTCCCGGCCGGTCGTCGTCCGCGTCGACCCGCCCAAGCTGTGGCGCCGCTAATTACCCTCTGCCAGCGTCGCACCAGGCGGCGACGCCGGCCGAGAGCCGGACTGGCGCGTGCCGACCGGGCCGGCGCCCCAGGCGGTGGCCTCATCTGGCACGGTCTGCTGCTGTAAAAAAGGCACGCGATGACGGACGCCGCCGTGACCTTGGGCCCGGTCATCATCACCTGCAGCGGTCGTCCGCTCAGCCGCCGCGCCCCGGCAGCGCTCAGCAGAGGGCAGTCCGGTCACAGCCGGAACAGCCGGCAGACCGGACTGCCCCGCGCCGAGCTCGACACTTAACTACCGGATCGTCAGGAGTTTGAATCACTGAACTTCTAAGAGGTTCGTGGAAGTGAGCTACGTAGAATGCCGAGCACGGACGAGCATTACGCCGGAGGTGCTGCCTCAGATTGAGAGTCTGCCTCAGGTGATGGCCATACTGCCGGAGCTCTGCCGACAAAGGCGAGCAGACGATCCCCGCCCCGAGCAGAGAGAAAGAGAATTCAATCACCGATCTGAGAACCGCCAACACCGCGGCGGAGTACCGTGTCGGATGGCCTCGATATTTGGGCGATAGGCCGTGTTTTCGGCCCGATATCACGGAGGAACAACAATGTTTGTGTACCGACGATAACGCCTAACAAATACAGAACCGGCCGGCCTTACGCAACACTCCGCACCGACAGTGGCGCACTGTTTGACAGATCGACAGTAATGTTGACGGACAGACAGCGAGGCGGGCGTTGACGGGCTGTGAGCTAACAAATCAGCGACCCCGAGAACGCAGCGTGTGTTCGAGTTCCTCCCACATTGAGTGATTTAAACCACTCGCTGACAAAAACAAGTAGGAGGAAGGAACACAGATGAACCGATAAGAGGCTGTTGTCCCGGCTTTGACCGGATTCAGTGTGCCATTTCCTATCCTTTCCGGTCCGTCTGGTGTTTCGCAGCTAGTCTAGCAATTCGTCTCGAGACTCAGTGACTAGCATTAGACTGGCAATTCGTCTCGGGGCTGAGTGTCCGACCGTGGCGGAGCTCTCAGCACGGCACTACGGCCGAAACGTCGGGCACGCCGGCGTCGACTTCACGCGTGTGGTGGCGGCGAGCCAACGGGGCCGAGGCCGCCATCGACAGGCGTGGCCGTCCATAGAACGACGAAGGACAGCCGGACCGCGGCGCCGATCGCTGGCAGGGAATGCATCGGACGACCGGAGACCGGCGGCGCAACAAGACCCATACCGAGAGATCACTGCACCGCCCCGCGGACGGAAGACAAACGCACGCCTGTGTCGTCCACTTTGTTGATTGTTACCACCTGATGTTTTACCACCCGCAAAGAAGAGTGTACTTGTGTTGGACAACACTTGAAGATTATACAGGTGGTGTCCTATTTCTCTCAGATCAAACGTGCCGGCCAGGTGGTAAATCCGCGGATTGTTCAACTGACCGTGACGGTTGACCCTGGCCTGCTGAGGCCACCTCTCTGTCCCTTGTTTACTTATCAATCCACACTTGTATGATACTCGTATATCTGCCTCGCTGTGTCTCAGAGGCTATATGCGGCACGCAGCTGTGTTCAGCGTGCTATCATCACTTCACAGAGACGGCGAAAAACCAGCATCAAAGGAAAAGTCCGGATCGTTTCAGCCGCCGCCGGCCGGGTGCCGGTTGGTTCAGGTGCGCGTCAGGGCCGTTCGACACATTAATGCCGAGCTGGCGGCAGGATGAGCTCACCGCCGCCAGGGCGTCATTTCCGCCATCCAGCGCCGAGTTGCCGAGCGAGGCGGGGGAGGACGTCAGCGGAGTATTCTAGTGACTGGCGGCAGCGGCGGCTGGAGGGCTGCCAACGTCCGGTGACCAGCGGCAGCCGGTCCAGCCGCCGGACCTGGTCACTGGCGGCTCACCGTCCACCGGCCCACACTGCCGCGTCGCCCAGCGACAGAGAAGACGGACGGAGCTCAGCCCAACACAAACACAGGAAACCGGGCAACAGGAGTTGGTCAGCTCGGACTCGAGGATCTGGTGTTCGTCGACGCCACAAAGCAGCGGCATTCAATTAGTCTATCTCGTTTGTTGCCTGCCTGGGCTCTGGCACATGCCACTGGTAAATGTCATCTGGTACGGGGCTGCCAAAACGCGGAGCATTCTCCACTGCCGCGTGCCACAGCTGGCCTGCCGGGGGCGGCGCTCGCAGCTGGAGAGGAGGGGCGACCAGCCACCGTGACGGCCGGGGCGGGGCGGGGGCGGGGGCGGGGCTCACCGAACCGGTCCTGGTTCATCCACCCTGACCGTTCTGCCCGCCGCCCGCGGCGGCAGACAGCCGTGGCTTCCCACCGCGGTCCGCAGGGCGCGGCACACCGCCAGCTCCGCCCGCTCGCTCGACACAGCTGCCACGAACGCGGAACAAGCACCGCACGCAACGCACCAGTTCGGGCGACGTACGAGCGTGGAAAAGTGAGGTTCAAGGCTCCGGTGGACCAGGAAGGATTAAGGAAGGATTTTGGTCGCTCCAAAAACCGCTCAATCATAAGGAAATGACCTTACAACTTCCCACATCTGACAGAATTTGCATGGGACCAGGCAGCAATAGGCAGCAGCTGACACAATATCGTGTTCGAACGTCTGTGTCTGTCACTGACGGCTGAATTTATCAAGGACTGTGCGTGAACTTCAGTCAATCACGAACTGAGTCATAACCAACACCTCAGCCCGGCGCACAAAATCAGCTCCACTGAACCAGTTCTGTCAGCCTTGACCGCAATAGTAGGTGCCGGTGGCGGCCAAAAACTAACACTGACACGTACCGCGCCGGCCGACTCGTCCAACCTATCGATACATGTATCGCTCATCCGGGTCCAAACACCGGGCCAGGCGCTGCTCCGCTGACGGCGGTAGCCCTCTCCAGCGGCTCCCGCCGTCAGCACGACCCCTCTCCCGGGACCCGGAGGGTTGGGCGGTCTCACCGGATAGGCATCGACTCAGGTGTCATATTTGAGCCCCCAACTTCCGGTATAGCAGAGACCACCTGACCCAACCCCTATAACACACTCCTGCTTCGGCTATAGCACTCGATACCTCACATTACTAGCTGAGACGACGAAATCCCAAACCATCCCGATTCACCACTTAGCCTTTTTGGGAGCTTCAGGGAGCTAACCTTTTCCAGTCCAAACACTGACATCAGTCTCATACCCACCTTGACGAAGACGTTGAGACTGCGGTCGTCGGCGTTCCAGGCGTACTTCTGCTGCAGGTCGTGCGAGGCGGTCGGCATGTCGAGCAGCACGTCCAGCCGGTGTGGTCGCACGTAGTCGGGACTCACGGTCAGCTCCTTGCTGAGCGGCGTCCGCACGCGCTGGTTGCCGTTGCTGTCGCGCGTCGTCGACTTGGCCAGGCCTGCGGAGAAGAGAGGACACAAGGTTAGTAGGGCGAATGAGAACACAGCGGCATAGATATTACGGCGTGACTTTGAAATGAGGTGAGGCGGCGGGCGAGCAGGCTGAGAGACATACGAGGTCACGGACACAACAATATTGAAGATTCACGCTTACATCCGTGTCAGCTTGTCGGCTCAAAGTATGCATGTCACTGTTACAAGCGCTAAGGATATGAGGTCACGGACACAACAATACTATTGAAGATTCACGCGGACTGACAGAAGGCTTCCAGGGTTCTTAGGATAAGCTATAAATCATGTATGACATCATGAAACCTAAACAGAAAACGTATATCCTGCTGTTTCGACTAACTGGTTTCAACACGAGATTGCAGTCATCAATATCATGGTAGGTATGCGACTGTTTTCATATTGTCTCATAAATAATCCAACTACAAGAAGCGCTCATAGCTATGAAAGCCTGTCGCCTGGTTGAAAACACCACACTGCTGCATATTGTATACGATGTGCTAAGAATTGTATTGTATAAATAAATACTGCGGTTGTAAGGATGATGCCATAGCCCACGTTGATCGCTGGGAACTGATATTTTCAGCATAATGAGGTTGTTGCCAACCTTTCTGTCAGCGCTAAATGGAAAATTTCATAGGTTGAACGTGCCATCGTTTCATGCACGATGCACATGGGAGCTAGTGAAGCCGTCAATTATTCCGTCTGACATCTAACGCATATGCCATGAGTCCAAGCCTTCGTAACCGGTAACAAAACGTGAGCGGGCATCTCGCATGCTAATCAGGCACCTGCTCTCCAACACTGGTCGAAAGTCGCGGAGAAACCACCCATCTGGTGAGGAGAGAGTGTCCAGAGAGAAGAGATGTTTGGAGAGAGCGTCAGCTGGCCAGTCGACCCGATGTTTGACCCAGAGAAACCCGGTCCGGCGGGGTGTTGATGACTATTCGTCCCCATGGTCCGGCGAGGCTGAGCCGTCGGCAGGCGGCCGGTCACCTCTGGCGGCTGTTTCGGTGACCCACCGTTCGGCCAGTGAGAGCTGTGTGACCCGCCGGGCCGGGCCGGGAGTGCCGGTGACCTGGTCACCGCCGCGGCCCGGCCCGGCCGGCCGGTCGGTGGGTGGGGAGAAGTGGGTCGCTGCCGCCGCCGAACAGGACACAGCGCAGCCAGCACGCCGGCTGGTGAGCCAGTTAAACCGGCCCAGCACGACGGTGCACGAGTGGAAGGAACAGGACAGGTTACGGGCGGGACACAGAGAGCAAGAGCCAAATCGGCTCAGCCCAACCGGCGGTCGTCCGAGGTGATTGAACCCGCGACGGACGGGCGGACACCGGAACGGCGCCGCGGATCGCTCCCCGTGAGGCCACAAAAAGGCGCCAGTTCCACAAAGCTGGCCGACGAGCTCGAGGGGAAACTGGGACGGAGACGGATACCGGTGCCGAATTCGTGCCGGCAATGGCACTGCCTCGAGCCGGTCCGGGATTAAACTGGCTCACCGCATGAATCGGCACTTTATCGTGAAACACGCCGAGAAGTCAACGACCGCTTAACGAGAGCTGGGCCAGCCAATGACGGCTCAAAACAACAGGCTACGTGGATCACGGCCGATTCGGGGAACAGTTGTTAAAAAACATGACTGGCGCTGGAGGGACGAGTTTGCAATTCGTAAATCTTCCATGTTTATGCAAACGTTGCGATGAGAGTTGTCGGAACTTCAGAGCAGGATACGTAATGCATAACATCCGTGCCTCATCTATAATTATCTACAGTATACGTCCGTTGGTTGAAAACGGAGCGTGGCACCCATCATTAATCATTCAGTCCCCCACGGTTCACCGGCCGACTAATGCTCGGCTGTGGTGAACTGGACCGCCCAACAGCGACCGAGTCGACCGCCCGCACCACGACTGTGCTAACTGCACCCGACGCTAAACTCGCCAGTTTGCATTCTCTGCAGGGCAGTAAAACGAGCGCTGCCCAAACCGGTCCGGAGGAACAGCAGGGAAGTGGCGGTGTGCGGAAGCTAGTATGTTCGGGGGGCAACAGAGACCGGCGCCGTACGGAAACCTACCGACCTGGGGACAGCGGGGGACTGGGGAAAACGTACCGTCGTCGGGCAGGTCGTGCTCGGAGCCGTCCAGCGCGGCGGAGTCACACTCTGAGACGGTGGCCGGGTCGGAGGAGGCGCAGCCGCGCACGGCGTTGTTCACCGGCGGCCGGTACTCCCTCATCACGTTGGGCGGACAGCGGCGCCGCCGGCGCGGCTTGGCCCCGGCCGACGCCGCGTCCCCGCTGCTACTGCTGCTCGTGTCCAGATCGACCGCCATGGCGGCGGCGGTGGCTGACGGGACGCTCGGCTCCGCTTCTGTCCGGCAGTGGTCGTGCCCGGGACGGCGGCGGCGACTGGCGGCGCCTCGCTGGTCCGAGTCGCTGCAGAGGTGAGCGCGCAGAGGGCAGTCTTGGTAGGCCCACGACTCACACAGGCCGTCGGCAGCCAGGCGCAGCAGGTCGCTCCAGAGGCGCGCCACGGTCAGAGCAGCTGAGTGCACCGGCGGTCGAGGCGCGCGCCGTGGGCTGACTGCCCGGTCGGCGGGCGCTGCGAGCCAACCGGCGCGGCGCGGCGCAGCGCCGGCACGGCAGGTATAGAGCCGCCAGATTCGGCGCCGCACGGACCCGGCAGCCCGGCGGGCGCGTCGGACGGACGGGTAGCCAGCCGCAGCGCCACCCAAACTGGGTGTCGGTCGGCGGTTGACCCGGCGGACCGGTCACGACAGGCCGACGTAACGGGTCGGCCGGCCGGCCTGTCGCCGATTCGGTCCGTTCCGCGTGGTGGAGTGACCGTATTTCCATCGGGACCGACCGGTCCGCAGAGCCCGGAGAGGAACACTGGCACGGTTATAGGTGGTTGCACCAATCATAACAAAGCCCAGTCGAAAGGGTCACGAGTTCAATCCATAGACACACTAATAGTTTAGTGAATGAATGTGATAGTGCACAGCATTTGCTTATACCAGTCTTGCCGACTCGATAAATGACAAGTCAATGTCAAGGCGACAGGTCTATCTGCGCCACCTCATCCCGTCGTCAACGCCGACAGAAAAGATGAGAGAGATGCTCAAACGGCAGCGTGCTGCACGATCATCATCAGCTTCGTGGAAACCATGGAATCAAGCAGTGGAAAATTAAAAGGATCGAAAAGGCTTGGATACAAACACGATGTCCCTGAAAAGTGTAATCGCCGTGGGAATAATTGAAAATGTCATGGACAATGAAACCTATGCTGCATCAACACAGCACGATGCAAAGGAGCATCCATCTGACCAGCAAGGGATTACCTATCTAGGTCAATGTCTCTTATCTTGCACAAAATACGGCGCATCGTTCAAGGTGGCATCGTTCACCCTCAGTCTGAGCCAGCACGCCACTTGGAGACGGAAACCAACCACGGTGAGCTCCACAACACGCGCGAGGCTCCTCGTTATGCAACCCTACTCTCGTAGAGGAACCGGCTTTCAGGCAGGAAGCGGCCGGTCAGGTGCGCCACGACACCGAAACAAAACAGAGGATTTCAGAAAACTTTTTGTCATACTTGAGCAGTCAGATAAGAAGAACATGAGCATGAAGTGAGTCGGATTAGTAAAAATCCTGTATACAAGGAAATAGCATCTCCTCAAGTGGCCACAAGTGTTGTCTTCCCGCTGAATCGGAGACTTGTAAGAAAAATCAAAGCGTGAGCTGCGAGGTGTTGGCTTGAGTGGCACTCGAGGGCTAGGCCACGCTTATCGCATGTCGTGCGCCGAGTTACCCTGAAATTAAAATTAAAATACCACGACACGGACATCAGAAAATCCAGCGGGATTACTTACATAACAAGATCCTAAGAACACCCCACCAGCGAAGAATCTTTCACACGGCGCTGATCAAGATGGCTCAAACGGCTGCAGTCACCTTAGCACCCAATATGCCATCCTTCTCCGAAATCCGGACGGATGCATTGCACCCCGATGACGTGACTGCCCACCCGACACCACCCACCCCCGTCTGATGACGTCACTGGGTACTAATGACAGCCGTGTGTGCGGCTCGGGGGCTCGTCCAACACCAACAGTGGCGGAGGCCACTGGCCGCGGCGGATCACGGCCGAACATAGCCCCTCTGACGACTGACGGAGCGGTCACGGGCGGGGACGTGGGACAGCGGTAGATGGTAGATAGGATAGACGGGGTGGGACAAATCGAAATGGAGTACTTAGGACAGGAAGGGTAATTGGAGTTGCTCATCCAAACACGTTGGCGAGGATGCATGAATGCATACCAATTACCATGATTACACAATTTGGTCAGGCTCAGTAATTGAGTAAGCGGGGCAATATTCGTATGCTAAACTAAGGATTCGCATGCGAAACTGAAGAAGAAAGAGAAACAACGCACTCCAATTCAGGCCGAAGGTAGCACATAGTGGCACAGAGAAGCCTGCTACAATGTGCGACTGTGCTGCCCCCTCCAATTCGACATCAGCGCCACTAGCGGGGAAGGCCCAAACTAACTACTAACTACGCCACGGGAATTAGTCTACGCAGAACTTATCGCTTCCTTTGGAGAGGAGCCACGGTTCAAACAGAGGGTCGGAGGGGGAGGCGAGGGATCAGGATCGTAGGTTTCTGGGATCAGAATCAACCAGTCCACGGTAGCTCTTCAGTGAAGCACTTGCTCTCCCTTCCACGTGAAACCCCACCGGGAAATGGAAGTCAAAGCGTTCAAGGGCCAATATCTTCATTCTTCAGATCGACATTATTCGTTTTAACGACTGAATAGAATACAGAACAAAGGACACACAAGCGTAACATCCCAGATCGGTCGTCGCCATTGCTAGATGCCCACAACATATCGCCACAATATCACCACTCGATTACGGAGCCACCATCCCCACTTAGCACCACGGGACGATAAATTGAATAATCCGGTGCGTTCAATCCCTCCCATTTCATTTCACACAGCTATCCGCAGGGCATGCCTCCCCGCACCTGGCCCCGCCCTCTGACCGGCCACGACCGAGAGGACCAATGGAGAAAAACACCGGGGCACAAAGCAGGGAGGGCAGAGGGGGCACCCACCGGCGCGGCGGCCAAAAAAGGATGTTTGTTCCCCACAATAGGCCGTTTGAGGTCACCGCCGCACGGCTCCTAACGGCGGTGCACAGAAGTAGTGGCGCCAGATAACAATGGGGGAGGGGAGTGGCGGGCCCTCACCTATACCTAGTATTACTAGCTATAGCAATATTTGAGGAAATGAGCAAATCGATGATCACGCCCGCCCAAAATCATTCTCCAAACCAAATGAATAATTCTAGACTGATCAGAAGAAAAAAATGGAGCGTTGCCAGCAAATGATAAGGTACTTCATTATGAGTGAAAAGTTCAGTGTTTTCGGTCTATCATAGGTAGTTGATTTACGTGCGCCTGCAGATATGAAATCCGTGTTTCAATTTAGAACACATCTCAGACATAAGCGTCTCTGGGCCATATCCAACAAAAGCACTCTAAGGTAGCGCCGACTATTACCCAGTCCCAGCTCAGACAGAAGCTCCTGCTGGTTGCCAGAAAATGAGAAAACGACACATAAAGGTTGCATAAAAGTGAGGTGGCAAAGCCCAAAAACTCTTGTTTCGCTTGTAGGCGACAACGATGAGCGACTAGCACGTCAAGGGTGGCAGAAAACTTTTCGAAGCCAGCAGCGACAGTCTTATTATTAGACAGCAATGATATCATTTCCATTGTTAACTATTCGGGGTAGCAGCTCTCATGCCAATCCAGAGATAACTGATATCAGATACCGTTGGATAGAGCGACTGATTATCGTCAAAACGTTTTCTTTTCTTAAACTAGGTTCAATCGCATTGCTTCTGAAATATACCGCAATTACAAAATTTGAAGAAAACAGATGCATGAACTAACGACAGACGACTTATAAAATGAACGACGCCGATCCAACGTGTAGAATCAAAGCATCACAACTGATAACCACCTCACCGGAGGTACTCACTGTAATACTGGCAGCATAGCGGGCAGAAGCGCAGTCCGACACCAGCGCGGGCCATCTCTATAAACTGCTCCACGCTGCTGATGATCCACGGGCTGGCCAGCCAGCAGAACGCGTCCCGTATGATGTCACACCGGTCCTCACACACAGGCGAGTTGGCGTTACCAAGCGGCGCGAACGACGGCTGCGCCGGAAAGCTGTCCGTGGGGGCGTACACCGCGCAGCAGACGGGGTCCCTCATCAGGTACGTGGCAGCCCACTCCACCTCCGGGAAGCGCGGGTCAGACAGCAGAGGACCGAGCACGAACGGGCGACGCGTCGGGGCCGGCTCGCTCGACTCGCACGTCGCGCACTGGTCGTCGAACAGACGGTACATGGCTGGACAAGTCCGCTGGTAGATGACTGAAGCGTGCCACCGATCGGCTCTCACTATTCAACAACCATCCAACAGATCACTTATGACCGACTGTCAGGTGATGTTTTCGATTGAAAACGTTTTGTACTTCACACCACTACTGTCCTCACTTATCACTGAAGACTCGTCTCTCCGAGGTACTCGCTATCACACAGGTCCGACTGACTGAGAAGCAATGCCCCGCACCGACCGATCACCACCAGCTCCTGAGGACGACTGACGCGCCAGTCAGCCGGCTGGCCGACCCCCCACGTCACACCAGATGCCGCCGCGGTCGCCGCCGTCCTCCCCCTCCGCGACTTCAGTGGCGCCAGTCTGGCGATAATCCGGCCGCCGCGCCACCCTCGAGGGCGCTACCGGCCCCTCGGCCGCCACCAAATCAGCCCCCTCCACGGTCCGATTAGAGACGCCCCTGGTAGGGACGACTGAAGATGCTCCAGAGTCCAGACACGTGGTGGGAGGATCGGCTGTGGCCGAGGCGGAGATAAGAAACGGACTTTGTACGATTCCGATAATGATAAATGCTTTCCAAGACTTCGGAAAACTGAGCAGCTGACCGATTGCTTCACCGGAATAACAAGTGTCACACTCACGCCAAAGAATGAGGACCGAGATGATTAAGATGATGAACTTCACGGCAATGCAGGGAGGAAAACATGCTCCAGATACCAGCCATAGAACGAGCAGCAGCGGCACTACGGCCAGACAAGCTGCATTCCAAGTTTCAAATCTTTCGCTCTTCCAGAAACCTTTCCTGGGCAAAGTCCACCAACAGAATCAGACAGTGTCGCAGACGAGGGCGAAGGAGGGGTCTGAAGATAAGAAGTGATACTGCGTGAGCCCAGCTGGCGTCACTCCAGACTGTCTCACCCAGCTGTCCTTCCAGAGTAGAGGTGGCAAAAGATGAAAATTTTGGGAACCAGACTCGAACCAGACCCGGCTGGACATTTCTGGAACCAGTCGGACCCGGTCTTAGTTGGAACCGGAACCAGTTGGACCCGTTCCCCAAAAGTCAATTAATTCAAACTACTTGTAGGTATCATTAGTTGCATCATGTAAAACAGCCTATTTCCCACTCGGAATACTCAAGAGCTACTGTGTGCCAAGAAACATTCACTTCATTCACTTCATATTTTGCAATAATGTGTAGTGTGCAAGATGCATAGTTCATGGTAGGACCCGGTTGGACCCGTCAGAAAATTTCCAGGAACAGGTCTGGACCCATATGGGTCCAGACTGGTTCTTTGGACCGGGTCCCCGGGTCCACATTTTGCCACCTCTATTCCAGAGCGCTCCGCAGACGACGCCGGGTGTAGACGAGGGGAAGGGTGATATGGAGCAGGGGGCACTGCCGATAAGAATTGATACTGCAGGACGCCGCTGGTCCATTCCAAAGGTTCTTCAAAAGTCTTCCCTAGACAGTGAAGTTGGACGAGGGGAGCAACGCTGATAACGCTTAGACGACGCCGAGCGTCGGGCAAAGTACAGAATGACGATGTCAACGCATTTCCATGCGTCGGCCGGTGCAGCCCAGCACAGTATCGCGACAGTAACTGAGCAGTAATAGGTAGTGATGTCCAGAAACTGTCCCATTATAGTCACGTCGCGCTATTTTTTTTTTTTTTGCATATTTTGTCATTAAAGAAATCGAAGAGCATCACAGAGCTCTTCGCAATAGCCCCTAGCATTTAAGAAACCTTTACATATCCTACAATAATACATTGATTTCCTAAACACCATTCCCGTCCTGACCCTAGAGTGGTCTAAAATGTGTCCCTCCGACATCCCGGTCACCATTTAGTCAAACCAAATAACAACTCCATCGCTGGACTCCATCAGCCGGGGGTAGGCCGGTTAATCCCCGCAGCGTACCCTTCCCGCTGTGACCGTCCCCACAGGTGTTATGTGCCGCGGTATGTCGGGACTCGGACACGCCGGCCAGTACAGGGAGGGGGAGGGGGCGGCCGGACACCGCTGTGACAGTTCCGTCGAGCAGGGGGCAGCCTGATCCTCACTACCGCGTGCAGATCGGGTAGAAAAAAGGACGGGTCATGAAACATTGGCTACGAACAGCCATGGTAAAAAAAGACGCTAGCAGACTTTGATATGAACATACAACATTTGTCCTAAAGCTATGTTCTGAAATTCAACAGCAAACATGAAGCCACATCTCGTATCCTCGAGCGGATCTAAAATAATGGAATCATCGGATTTTCTTTCAAAGAAACGACAACTTTATTCTTATAAGGATATCATGGGGCAGCATTTTCACCAAAACTTCTACAATAAATCATTCCCATTCTCAGTCATCACCGTATGGAGTGTTTCTTTCAGGCAGTGGAAATAGGGTCACATGCGGTATGAAATTCCCCTTTCATCACTCATTGCATTAACCCGCGTCAGAAGTTCCCGATAGGCGTTATCACTAGTGTATTCGCGGCCATTGGGGCGACGTAAGAAAAGAGGAAAACAACTGGCCCCAATAACTTTAAATTATCAGTTAGCATGCATCTTTTCCTTGATATGTAGATAATTTACCATTAATTGTTAGAGAAAATTGCATATAAAATCTTCCATTTATGCTTTTTTCATCGTTTGCATAATACGAGGGGGTACCCAAAAGTAACGGGAATCGTTCTCTGTAGGCCAAGCCAGTGGTAGCTCGGCATTGCCCTGCTAGGGGCAAACCAGTTTGGCCCCTTGGACTTAGTCTGCACCGTGAGGTGACGAAATAAAGAGGCGCGGCCGCGTGGCGCACGTATTTATTGAAGCACTCCCGCCCGATCCGTCGTTTTTTATGCATAGCGGGCCTGAGCAACAACGCGCATCTGTGAAATTTTGTCTCCTGCTGGGGAAGTCCGCGACTGAAACGGTTCCAATGCTTCAAGTAGCATACAAATATGCTGCCGTGAGCAAGACGCGGGTTTATGAATGATTTTTGCACTTCAAAAGTGGTCAAATGTTATCCCAAAAGCGCCCCAAAAAAGCTTGCCAAGTGAAGTCAAATGTCAAGACAATGCTGATTTGTTTTTTCGATGCAAAGGGAAGTGTGCAAAAGGTAGTGAAAAGGAAATTGTTCCTCCCTGGTCAAACTGCCAATCAGACGTTTTACTTGGACGTTCTGCGGCGTGTGTGAAACACGGTGAGACGAAAACTCCCCGACAGGTGTCGAAACGGGGAGTGGTGATTTCATCGCGACAGTGTGCCAGCGCACACCGCCTTGAGTGTCAGACAATTTTGGACAACAAATGCATGACCCCACGGATCCACCCTCCCTATTCACCGGATTTGGCACCCTGTGACCTTTTCCTGGTCCCCAGAATGAAAAAGACCTCAAGGGAAACCATTTCGACGACTTTGATAAGGTAAAAGCAAAAACGACGATGGCTCTGCAATGCATCACCTTGCAAGAGCTCCAGAGCTGTTTTGAGAGCTGGAAAACGCGTCTGCATAGGTGCATTGTCTCGCAGGGAGAGTACTTTAAGAATGACATGAGTGACGATGTGTAGGGATCAGTGAATAAACAGATATGAAACAATTCCCGTTTCTTTTGGGTACCCCCTCGTATGTTCTTTTACTAAGCTAGAAACACTAATTAGAAATAGTTCCCGCATCTCGTCAAGAACAATAGGAAAGGCTTGAAGTGAATAGAACAATCTAAATGGTTTTGTAATCTATGTGAAGACACTTCTAAAATTGCCTGTAGAAATGTTGAAGGCAAAAGTTCAACTTTTTCACAAGACGGATGTCTATAAACCTATTCAACGTGTGACAACTCAGCCGGTATTTCGTCGCCTACAGCCAAGCTTTCCCTAGTGACCGATAGAGGCGCTGCTATCGATGTCCGCCCGTGCCGCCTAACGCGCCAGAGCTGCTATCGCCAGCATTTCCCGTAGATGCAACTCTCGCTGTTTAGATGGATCAATGCGCTCTAGCACGACTGTTGTGACTAAGAGCCACCCACTATTTAAGCCACATGGGTTTGTGAGGCTGGTGATGAGAGGACCAGTATGGATCGGTTATGCCGTCTCGGTCGTTTGTCTCATTTTTAACTCCAGCAGAGCCCCATCTTCAGAAGCTCAAGATTGTGGGAATGGTAAAACTTGGCGAACAAACGTGGAAACTTTGGGGAGTGAATGGTTACGTTGTTACGTAACACTCTGCAAATAATAGTCCAGAGCACTAGCGTAGTAGGCATTGGAAAGTAGAAGACTTCAGTCATTTTCAGGTCATATGAAAGCTCGACTCAGATTCTCGGCAAAATATTCCCAAAATAACTGCATCATCAAACCTGGCGCGACGTCATTCGATAAGCTTTTCGTTAGAAGCATTATTCTCGTAATTGTTCTGAAATAGGAAAACTGACCGACTGTTTTCTGCTTTCACGCACATCGACAAATGGACAGTCAAGTGGACAGTAGCGCCCGTAACTCGAAGTCGATACTTATGAAGACATCAATTAAACTTAATACCATCACCAACTCAAAACCACACCAGATTTACTTCTGACTGCCGATAATCCCTTTCCCATCATTAGCTACCCACAGATGTACTCTCCTCAGGTGTCGGAACCGTTTCCCGTGGGGACAAAGGCCGGTGTTCCGACCAGTCGCGGTGAGACTGGCAGGCAGCCGACCGGCGCCGGGAAGACCTGGGCGACCGGGACCGAAGCGGCGCCTTCCGGGTCATTATGGCACCCGCAGCGGCGGCAGCGGCACCGGACGGGTGACCCTGGTCACCGGGACCGCGACCCCCCGTGGCACGCTACTGCGCTCATCACAGGGGCTGAAAGGGGACGGCACTGGGAGGGAGGAGACGATAATTACTTTGGAAGTGAACCAATCTCATCACCCATCAGAGCTCAGAGATGTCAGGTCTGGCAACCGGGGATGCGCTGGGTACCTAAACCACACTAATCGAGCGAGAGTGCTGTTTTTTTTTCACCCGTCATTGCTTCACTCAGTCAAGACTAGCCTATCCACATCCTTACTCATGCTGCCTCGCCCCGGCTGACGGTCACTCAATCAGTTAACAGGTGGTGAGGGAAACCCCATTACGGTCACACACTCTCCCAGGCGACTGTTTGAGACTTGAGTGGACGGGCGAGATGTCCCAACGGGTCACTTTTCCGAGATCGGCGCAACGTCAGTGGTGCGACTGCGCTCAGACCAATGTCTCCACCCTACGCTATCGGCCCATAGCTCTGCTAGCGT